ACATTTTCAGGATTCTTTTCTGTGAGAACTGTAGATCTTGCTGCATCTAGGCAATTATTTGAATTTTACTTGTGCTAATAAACTCTTCCAAGCTGGAGCAAAAATATGTGCCTTTGCAAAGCAAATAGTATTTCTTCAAACCGATTATATTTAGAAATTCATGCATCAGTGCACAACAAAAATCCTACAAGTTAGTGTTCCATTTCTTCCTGCATTCAGGGATGGTAGAACACGGTATGTAAGCTGATACACAACAGACTTTGAGAACTTTTTGTGTGAACTACAAATAGCCAAGTCACTGCCTTATCTACTGCTTTCACCTGCACAGGTAAGGCCATTAAGGCTCCTAAGTCATACAGCCTTCTCTAATTTTAGTTAGCTGTGCAACAAGTTACTTAAACTCCAAATGACCAAATGTATTTTTCAGGAAAGCTGCACCCAATGATCCTGTTGACTATTATGTAGCACATGTAAACTCTCGGGAGTTGACTTCAATTCCTAGTCACATCATGGACATACCCTTGTTTTCTTGGCAACAATATGGAAGAAAGTTTACCATAGCCTTGTTTTTTAAAGAACAATACTTTCCAATCTAGTTTATAGCTTTGGGATTTTCTCCCATCTTAAGTAATTGTTTGCATCAAATATTGGAAATAGTTGACAATATTGCAAAGCTGGATATTGTTTTCTCTTATTTTTGCTTTTCTTGCTTTCTCAGATTTCTTAAGTTTGAAGTTTCTCATCAATCTTCACAATTTGCTCTGGACAATTTAAATTTCTGAAATTCTAAATTCTCACATTGAACATCAAACAAAAATCTTTCTGGTTCTCAAATTCCAATTCCTAGGACATCTAAGATTTTTTTTCTGTCCTGCTTGAGCTGGTGCAATATGTCCAACCATATCATCTCAGTGGCATGGCTGAAATGTTACAGAGATGCCATTTCATTAAAAACAAAAGTCAAGGTTTTTTTTTTCTAGTTTGGATACATTCTCAGTTGTCATGATTTAGTTACAAAGGTGTCTTCATTTAAAGCAAGCACTCATTTACTTATTAGTTTTGCTTCCTAATTGGATTAAAAGAGAATCATTTCACAATTGATGCTTGGTGTTCACTGTGAACAGAAGGAAAAAAATTGCATTCTCTTTGGTAGAAGAGTACTTAAGTTTCAGAGCAAATATAAAACATTTGGCAAGGTGATGTTTTGGGCATGAGGTAGTGAGCCAAATAGATTCCTAAAATAAATTCTAAAAACTGGCATTCCAAACACTTAGTGTCTAGTATATTGGAAATACATGAATTATTTTCCCTGCAGCAAAGACAGTTAATTGCACAGTTACGTTTTGATTTGATTCCACTGTTGCAACACAAATCAGTGGCTACACACTTGGATTCCAGGATTTTAATCTTTGTTGATGTAATGTAATAATAGGCAAGCTACAATCAGCCAACATCCTATGTAATTCGGTTTTAAAGTTTAATGTAAGGAATAAAAAGCAAAAGCAGATATGTGGACCATGCAAAAAAATAATTCACAGGAAGGCAGTTTTTTCATTAAGTTAACAAATTGTTAATTTAACAGTATGTAAACTTTCAGTCTCTAAGAAGTCTTAAGGATATAGAAATCCTGGAAAGGAGAAGAAGAAAAATGTGTATTTGGTCTACTCTAAGATGTAGTTAATGCAGATAATTGCAAAATGCCAAGCTTGCTGCCATGTAAAATATGCTTCCATGGATGCTTCTGTAATTTTGCATTCCTCAAGATTAAAACTGGGCTGGTTGTGCAAAAAATTGCATAATGCTTTCAATTGTGTCCCAGATAAATTACAACAGAGATTTCCCTTTTTTAATACAGTATATTTGTGGTGAACAGTGAACAAAATTCTTCTCTTGTGAACTCAGAAACCTGGTAGGACCTCTTGAATTTAACTTGAAATAGCTAAGGGTCTGTGTGCCATCCCTTGCACTCTCTTCCAAAACACAGTCCAAGACAGATTTATTTATTTAATCTGTTGTGAATGACATCACTATTAAAGGCATGAGTCTAGTTAGCTTAAACCTTCCCCGTCTTTCATGCCAGCAGATGGCCGCTAGTCCTTTCTGGGAGGGATGCCAGGTACTGCATTTGGGGTACAGTGCTGTGATAGCACAATCTTTTCTCTGAAGGCAGGTAATTCTGCTAAAGTACAGTTCTGTTAGTGGGCCTTTGAATCTTGATCTCTGCATGCATTGTAATGAAAACCATTTTGCTAATGCCTTCAAAGCAACTACTTAGCCCAGTGTTTCTCAGCTGTGGCCACTTTCAGATGGTGGACTTCAGCTTCCAGAATTCTCCAGTCCCCTAGTGAATTTGTATTAGCTTAATATAAATAGGATTATAGGGAAGCAAACTACATTAGTTGAGCAAGCATGGAAAAGTATTTCTGACTTTGCTTTCCAATTGCTCCCTCCAAATCCTTGTAGCATGGCCCAGATTTAGGATAGATACTTAAACTCCTGGTCCATTTTTAAATAATATTAATTATTGCAAATTACAGCTTCAGTTTCTCAAGAACTATCTTATCCTCATTGCTGGAGTATATTTAGAGATTTCTTTCCGATATTGAAGGTAAGGGCTTCTCTGTGAGAGTGTTCTCAATTTCTTCTCCACCAGGTTTCCTTTTTCAGTCTATTTACATTTTCAAAGGAGTTACATAACTCTTTATTTTAGTTCTGCTTTTATTGATTTTGCTGTTTGCTCTGTGTGTCATGGGCCTGAAAGCACTAGAAGAGAAAATCTGTTTAAGTGGGTCTGTATTTGATTTGATACTCTGATGGCAGACTACTTAAGCATTTGGAATACATGGGAGAAAGTACTACAAAGTAAATGCTTAAATAAAAACATTTTAAAAGCAAATTGTTGAGTGGGAATGTTGGACTGAACACAAGGCATCAAATGTCTAAAACATGATATTGCTTGTAGAAAGTTGGTAGGGAATAACATTCTTTCATATGAACCTTTTTTCATCCAGATGTGGATTTTTATTGTTTGAAATACTGGTTAGAGTTAGTAGGTTTTATCTATGTCTACCCAAACAGTTAAGGAGAGCAATTCAAAGTTCTTTGGAAGATGCAACATCAGGACCAATTCTGTTCCTCTGGATCATGATCACGCATAGAAAAAAGTTTTTTTAAAATGCCGATAAATGTCGGCTGAAGCCTTTAGAGAGATTAAAAACATTAAGGAAGACTTGATCATTAATATGCTTTGTCAAGATTAAAATGGAATCTAGAATTACTATGTTTCAGAGAACTGCTGTATTAATAGCAAATAGCATTAGTAGGGCTTTCTTCATTTCTAGCTGTTGGATTACACAGAATGCTACCTTTTATTACTTTTACCTGCTTAATAGTATCTATGAAAGATGAGCTGTTTGGTTCCCTCCAGATATTTTGGGTCATACTGTATTCTGCCCAACTTGTCAACTCTTTTGCTACTTGAGATTGATTTGAGTTGAAGTCCAAAATGCTTGAGAGGAATTAAGTATAAATCATTTAGGGAGAACTGCTTCTCATCATGTAATTTATAATTCCAAATCTCTCCATGAATCAGGATAGTTCTATGCATGAGTGTAGGAGATGATAATTTTCACACTTGTCCATTGCCCAGGAAACACCTGTTCTTGGAGTTACAACTGCTCCCTCCCTATGATCTCATTTCAGTCCACATTTATAATGGATTGCTGCATCCCACAATCACAATGATTGTGATTTGCATTTTTGTTATTGGTTTTCAGCAAAAAAAAAAAAAAGTCCGTTTGGAAGAATGGGTTTGCTTAACAACCATGTGCTTCACTTTACAACTGTGATGATTTGTTTCATGACCATTGTAAAAGGATTATAAAATTGAGTGTGGTCACGTGTAGGAAGTCACACACACCCCCAAAAAAGAAAAAAGAAAAAAAAGAAAGATTTCCTAGGATGAAATCCTTCACTTCTCTCCACTACTTAGGAAAACACTCCAGGCAGTATGTTTTATGAATGAGATACTTTTGTATTTATTGACAAAACTGGAGTATTCCATTCAGTATCCATTTAGAGAAATCCAGGCCACAAACAAACCACTTTCAGCCACAGCTCCCCCAGGCTGGAGCTGATAGGATTAAGAATGAGCCCAAATTCTAAGGACAGGATATGAACTTTAGGACATAATAGGATTTACCCACACCATTAGAATAACAAAAGACACAAGGCTCACTACATTGCACAACCCCCTGGAGCATCTCAATCACAAAACCTCAGAACCCTATAAAGATCCATCCACTTGCTCAGCCATTTGGTCAGCCACCCCAGAAACACACTGCTGTCATTGAAGTTTCTGGAAACCAAAGAAACAGAGACCTTCTTGTAGCCAGCATCCATTTTATTTCCAGCGTTTTTCTCCAGGCTTGGAACTGGATTGGATTTTTCTTTCCACACTGATATCAGCCCCTGGTCTTCTTTACTCTGTGAAATGTCTGTAAAGAAATTTCAGCTAGATCGTTTTCGATTTTGTTTTCTGATTGAGGGTTACACTGATGGCCATGTGTATGTTTTGCCTATTTATTTTTTCTGGACTCAGTTTAAGGTGGTGTTGATAGTGAAATCTGAACTTCTTAGAACCAACCAATACAGAGATGCCTTCTTTTGTTTACATTTAGCTGAGAACCTCACTGTTTTATGTTCCTCTATCATTAGGATAAATCTACATTACAAAGAGAATCATTTTGAGCTGCCGCTTTTCAGCTCAGGAATTTCCTGAACTCAAAAGCAAGGGGGTCTTATTTGTATATTGTGTTTATTTTCCTGGGGTGGGGCATAAATGTTTTAATTGATGGAATTGGAGATTTGCAATGAATATTATCTGCTCTAAGCATTTTGTCTACAGCATGCTATACTTCAGCATTTTAAAAAGATTTATGTTTAGAAACAAAATCACACAAGGTTTGAATCTTCTGTGTTTTTCTCTGCCTCCTATATAGATTGATAAATATTTATATGCCATGCGGCTGTCAGATGAAACTTTGATGGATGTTATGGGTCGCTTCAGGACTGAAATGAAGAATGGCCTCTCTAGGGATTTTAACCCAACGGCCAGTGTAAAGATGCTGCCTACCTTTGTAAGATCTATTCCCGATGGCTCAGGTAAGGGTTATCACTCTTGTGGCTGCTAAAATTCTTAATGAAGATGGCTTCTTAAAACAAATCCAATATTGTTCCTTCCAATATAGTGAGATCTGACTTGTGGCCATAGTGATCCTAATGCAAATAAAACTAAGAATAAAAGTAATACCAGTAGCACGATAAAAAAGTTTCCAGTCTAATAGAACATGTTATTTACCAAAACATAAAGTTACAACTATTTGTATAAGTTACAACTATTCATTTGAAGTTAGAGTCACCAACAAAAAATGATTTGTGACTGGTCCTCACACTTACGACCCTTGCAGCGTCCTCAGGGACATATGATCAGAATTCAGGTGCTTATAGTAATGTGCAGGTATTGACAATAGCTGCAGCATCCTGGGATCATGTGATCACTACTTGCAACCTTCCCAGCCAGCTTCTGATAAGCAAAGTCAACGGGGGAATCCAGATTCACTTAACGTCCACATGATTCACTTAACCACCACAGTGATTCACTTAATAATCATGGCAAAAAAGATAACAAAATAAGTTTAACAACTATCTTGCCTAGCTCAGAAATTCTGTGCCAATTGTGGCTGTAAGTTTAGGACTGTTGTACCTGTAGACGATGAAAAGAACACGTAATTTGCAGGGCATATGTTCAAAACATACGCCCTGCAAATTAATATTAATTAGAGTCTGGGCAAGAGGAAAGCTCTTCTAGAACAAGTCTCAACCAGAGCGTCACTTATCACGACCAGATTTGTGCTCCTTTGAGAGGGCTGATCAGGTGGCACAAAACCTTGTTCTACAGCTCTCCCAGTCCCCACAGATTGGGCACTGCTGCAGGAGTGTGTGTGTGTGTGTGTGCTGTATGTCTTTTAAACATTAAATAGAAAAGTAAAAAATGCCCCAAACCTCACAAGATCGTTCAGAATTAGATATCTCCTGAGAATGTGATCACTCTTTAGTATATATATTACATATAGGATGTTCTCAAAGTCAGACCCCATAGGCCAATCTCAAAAGGTTTTATTAATTTTATTATTTTGTATTTTTCAGACAAAATGTTACTGGACTTAGGAATGTTCAACAATCGTAGTCAAGCAAACAAAGAAATCCTTGAAAGAAAATGGCAACCAATTTGAAAATTTAGTGTAATTTATATAATACATTTCCCAGGCAGCCTAGCTTTTGGTACACTCTGAATATTGCCCTTCAAGCACATTCAGTTCATGCTGCTGAATCAGAAGGCAACATGTTTGGTGATATGAGGTTTTCCCCCTTCCTTACAAAAAGAAAAAGAAATCAAGGTGGGAATAGAAATAAAAAGGCCCCAGGGAGCAAATTACGTTGAGCCTTCTCTATAACACCACCATGCTTTCCTAAATTGATCTGAAATTGGCTCAATACATTTTCTGGGGCCCCTCCTATGCTTCCTTATTGTCAGCTTCGGACAGACAGAGCAGGTTGAAAAAATTCAGGATGCTGAATTATGACTTGACCTCTCAGGCTGTTGCCCAGCCCTAGTTTGGTTGCATCTTGACAAGATCATTAACTTAGCTAAGCATAATTTCCATCTAAAATTTGGTTCCCTCCCCAAAGGTTGCTTCCTTATGTACTGAAGAAAAAAAAAGACTTGGCGCACTCTTTTATGTATCCTGTTCAATGAAAAGAGAAATCTAGCTGTTGTCTTTTGATTAAGGCTTTGCTTTCAAGCTAGCACTTGGCTTTTGGGCCTGAATAATAATCATTATATTTTATCTTGCTTTGTTACGAATTCAAGATGAGAAGATGGATTCAATCCTTCTTAATAATAGTACAGAAATGCTTTTGTTACTATCATTAAAGGGTCATATATTAAAAGCACAGGTGGAGGTAGGAAGTCCTGGGAGAAGAAATTACTGACAGTTCTATGAATATGTGATGGATTTTCCCCCCTGAAATAAATACTCTAGTTTTACCCAACCTGGTATATCCTCTGGAAAGCAAATTCTATGAGCTCTTGTAAAATTAGTGATGGATTGCTAATTTGGAGTGATGCATTCATAATCCAGAATATTTGAATAGAATCAGATTGGAGGAAGCTAACATAAATAATAGTTACATTAATAATAAATACAGAATTTGATAGTAAGGTTGAAACATTATAGCGTATTCATTCACAGGTGCAAAGAATGTCACATTTGCCATGATGTCATGAATAATATAATTTGCAAGATGGCAGGATGATCACACATCTTATATGGCTTTTACGAGATGTTTGAGTATATCAGCCATTAATTGATATCATGTGCATAGACAATCTGGTTTTAGCATCTTTCTTCCCTTCTTACTTATCACATGATGTAAACTCTCACTTCTGAGATATTGGCAGACCACACTTTCTATTAAATCATTGTGCATACAGTGCACAATGGATAGTTCAAATTGCAATTTGGTTGCATTTTAAGATCACAATACAAGAGCAGGTGGGAAGAGGAGAAAAACAAATTTCAGGTCATAGGCAGATAATACAAATTAATTCATTAACACCTGATCATGATTTGCCTTTACGTTGGAATGTCCTTTCAAGTGTTTTGCTAACTGGGCATCTGATTTCTGTTTTCAGGCCACAGGTTAATTTACTAGCTATTACAGAATCCCCGTTTGTTTAAATTGTACTGAGACTTGTTTACATTTGCTGAAAAAAAGGCACCATCTGTTCCACTATTTATCTTTGAGGGCTTTTTTTTGTGATAATGGCTTGTTTTTAAGCAATCAATGGACTACAGTGATAAAGTCTATTTGTGCACTTGGCATAATGTGAAGTACTTGTCCCTGGCAGTGTCATTTCACGCCGTTTGATCTCCAGAAGTGCAATACGATGCATTGGCATCTGGAAGAATTGTGGTGATGTCACATATGGTATGATGGCATCACAGAAATGAGGGCGGGTTGTACAATTTTCATCAGTTGCAATTTGTATGACGATGTCATGACTCATATGACATTCTCCCTGTGACATCACTCATTCTCCCTTTGCATGTTCAGCTTGGAAGTGATGCTGATCCGACAAACGTGTTATTGCTAGGGAAGATGTGCTTTGCACTCCTTGTTGAGTTTGAGAGAGTGCTTGGCGTCAAACTTCCCAAACAGATGGCAGCATTGTGGCGTTACATGAATTCCTTGTTGGCTTTCAGATTTTGCACAGCTTTCACTGCTCCTTCACTATGGCTGGGGGTTGAACAGCACAATTAACTACTCTACTGAATAACCCCACTTTCTGGATTTGCACAATAGATTGACCTGTAAATAAATTGGGTTTGCAATGCACACTAGGAGATAGAAAAAAAAATCTGAGATGAACATTGACCATGTTTAGCTGCCTGTTCGAGTGTATCTTGAAGTGTCTTGTTTAAGTGAATGTGTGCAAATTTTGTTTGTAAGTCAGGCTTGCTTTGAAATGAGGGTAAGATAGGACTTGTTTGAAAACTGGGTAGGGCATGATAAAAGATTTTCCAGGTCAGGCTGTACAGTTTTGTGTTTCCTGTTGAAAGTAGCAGGAACTACAATGTCAGAAGGGCTTCTGAAGGGTCACAGAATAAAAATTTGGGAGCTGTTTATAACTTTCTGATCTCATGTTGCATATACCTGTGAGAATGTCTACATTCTTCAAAAAGGGAAATTTAAATGCAGGGGAATACATATGAAACACCTATTCTTGAATCATTAAAGCAGACTCATCTTTTTCCAAGTTCACCTGGTTGCTTTTGAAGCTATTCCCTGCTGTCTCTGGAGGTGATCATATCCATTTGAAGCACTTGTGTGATTGCCTTAATGATGAACAAATCTCACTACTGTCTTTTCAGAACACCTCTTTTGAAGGATATACGCAACCATAACCTGTTATGTGGGTGGTTCTGATGTTTTGGAGATTACTAATAGAAAGTTGTGGCATTCTGCGCATCTTTTCTAGAATTAGGCAGGAAGATTTAGATAAGGCACAGCCCCTCCTTGCTGGGAAGCAGGATGATGTCCTCTTAGAAGTGTGAGAAGTTTCTTCAATTCTAATTTGATTGCTGGAAGAGGACCTCAAGAGTGATAGAGAGCAACGGCTTTCATTTGAATGAATGAATTAATGAATGAATTCTTTATTGGCCAAGTGTGATTAGACACACAAGGAATTTGTCTTGGTGCATATGCTATCAGTGTACATAAAAAGAAAAGATACATTCATAAGGTATAACACTTAATATAGTCATAGGGTACAATAAGCAATCAAATCATACTAGGAAACAGTCAGTATAAATCGTAAGGATACAAGCGACAAAAGTTACAGTCATACAGTCACAAGTGGGAGGGGATGGGTGATAAGGAGTGATGAGCAGATTAATAGTGATAGTAGTGCAGACCTAGTAAATAGTTGGACAGTGTTGAGGGAATTGTTTGTTTAGTAGAGTGATGGTGTTTGGAAAAAACTGCTCTTGTGTCTAGTTGTTCTGGTGTGCAGTCCCCTATAGGGTCGTTTTGAGGGTAGGAGTTGAAACAGTTTATGTCCAAGATGTAAGGGGTATGTAAATATTTTCACAGCCCTCTTTTTGACTCCTGCAGTATATGGAATGGAAGGCAGGATGATAGCAATTGTTTTTTTTAAAGTCTGTGTCTGTCCTGATGGGTTGCAGAACCAAACCAGACAGTTATAGAGGTGCAGATACAGACTCAATAATTCCTCTGTAGAACTGGATCAGCAACTCTTCTTCTGCTACTCATCAATGCTGCCTACAAGGGAATCCAAACCCAGAATTCCTACCACATTTTTTCAAGACTGTGGGGCAGGGAATATTAGCTGGTCCAGTTGATGTTCAAGCTGTATCATGCTGGCTCATGTTTTGAGTCTATATTTCAACTCCCCAATCTTGACTATTTCAAAGCAATATAAAACAGTTTTTTGACAGACTGACATTCTCCCTGCATAAATAATGGTTTCCTTTGGAAGGAAGGAATTACTTGGAATCTTCCAGGTCTATTTTTGGCAATTTGTTTAATTTCAGTCATTTAGTAGGTTGGGATGAAGAATTTTTGAATCTTTGGGCAAGATGTGGCAAGTATTGACATCCTTTTTTGTGGGGAAACACTTTCAATAGTTTTACAGGTAGTCCTCAACTTACAGTCACAATTTAGCTCAATATTTCTGTTGCTAAGTGAGACATTTGTTAAATTAATTTTCCCTCATTTTACGACCTTACTTGCCACGGCTTTTAAGCAAATTGTTACAATTGCAGTTGTGAAGTTAGTGACACGGTTGTTGAGTGAATCTGGCTTCCCCATTGACTTTGCTTGTCAGAAGGTTGCAAAAGGTGATCACATGACCTTGGGACACTGCAGTCGTCATAAATATGAGTCAATTGCCAAGCATCTGAATTTTGATCACATGACCTTGGGGGGGATGCTGCAACAGTCGTAAGTGTGAAAAACGGTCATAAGTCACTTTTCATGTCATTGTAACTTCAAATCTCACTAAACAAACTTAAATTGATACTTAATGCTCTTTCCTTCCTTCTGCCTCCCATGTCACATGTACACACACAGAAAGTTTTGATCTCTTTATACATGAAAAATTTAGTATAACAAATACGTCTTTTTTTAAAGTTTAGCCTTTCATAATAATGTTTTTCAATCAGCTTAGCTCTGCTGAAATGGTTCTTAAAGTTTTTGTAGACTTTAAAATTTATTATTTTTTATTTATTTGTCAAAAGCTTGCAATACAACAGAAACAAGAATAAATATAAGTTTAAATACAAGAAATAGGAACTAATAATTGGGGACAATAGGACAGGGTTGGTAGGCACGATTGTGCACTTATGCCCCTTAAATATGAATTATAACTGGGAGATTCCTGGAAGGCTGTATAAGGGTGTACATACTTTTGAAAGAGTTGCTTTGCACCAGTGCATTTGTAAATATGAAGCACTTTTTGGAGCATTAAAGCAACCACATCTTTTGCTAGGTTTGTGCAGACACTTTGAAGACTCTCCCTGGTTGCTTCTGTAGATGTGTGCATATGCAGAAAACACAACCCTGGGTGTCCTTAAGTGATTGTGCATGTATACACCTATGGGGGTAGCTATAGAGTGCTTTCAGAAGAATTGAATGTACCTTGCAATGGATACAATTCATTCAATGCATCAGAGAAAGATGCTTTATTGATGTATCCTTGCTTTGCAGAGCACCTTCATTCCCCTTAAGCACTTATTATTTGGACCTTTCAGTCCTGATGCACTTCCTCAGTGAACTTTAAGTACTGACTACATCAGGATGGCTGAGGAACTCTGAGAGTTGAAGGCCACAAGTCTTAAAGTTGCCAACGTTGGAGGCCCCTGGGCTACATTATGGCTGTGAGCTTGGTTGGAGTCATTTGACTTCCAACCTCTCATTTCTTAATCACTTTCAGAAATCACTTTTTTAAAACCTAAAGCCATGTTTTATTAGAGCACTGGTGGGTCTCCTACAATATTTAGCCAAAGTAGTTTAAAATCCTTGACTTACAACTACAGTTGGGACCAGAATATCCATTGCTAAACAAGGCGTTAAGTGAGTCATGCCCAATTTAAGACAATTTTTTCCCATAGTTTTGACTTGTTTTTTAAAAAAATATTTTGTTAATAGACAAAAGGATGATAAGAATGTTGATATCAGAAAGTTACAAATAGGCTAAGAGTCCATATGGATAAGATTTTTCCAAATTAGGTATACGAATCCTTTCCTTGGGAAAATATTTTGAATACTTAAATTAAAATGAAAGGATGGTACTTTGAAGGCTGGACATTAGAGGGCACCAAAAGGAACTAAAAATTACAATTAAAAGGAGAAGAACACTGAATTTGATTTACAGAATGCAGCAAAATATTTTAATATTGGATATATTGAAGGATATACAAGAATGATTTGGGGGGGAAATGCTACATTGGATTTATAAATAAAACTGGTTGGTGTTTTAATAATTGAAAGGAATATACAGACAACAGACCTAGAAAGTGATTTGGATAGTTTTCATATTTTGATTTACAAAGATGTTTTGTTCAGGTTTTGAAAGGTTTTGTGAAAAGGGCCCAAAAGTGAAAAGGAATCAAGGTCTAGGACAGTATTTGAATGGATTAATGATCAAAATTGTTAAAAGTAAAAGGAAGGAATATAAAGTTGGTTTATTTAATTAAGGTTAAAAATAGATACGTTGTTATCTCTGGTAACAATGGATTTTGGCTGACCAAGGACTGGATGATGATGCTTTAAAGATTTGTTTATAGACAAGAGAAAGGGAAAAGAGTTTATTTACTGTATTTTAAGAGAAAGTGAAAAGTTTCTAAAACTGTTTAAATTTATTATGAAGGGGGAAGTAATTTCTTTATACCAGCGGTCCCCAACCTTTACGGCATGGTGGCCTGGCAAGGGGAGGGAAACTGGCCAGGTGCAAGTGATGGGCTGGCGCGCATGTACATGGGCGCTCTCAACAGCGTGCGCAATTCGAGCTGCATGCATGCACGTGTGCTGGCCAACAGCTCACATGGCCCAATAGTGAGCTATGGCCTGGGGGTTGGGGACCCCTGCTTTATACATTTCTCCTCCTCCTCCTCCTCTTCTTCCTCTTCCTCCTCCTCCTCTTCCTCTATTATTTTTTTCTCTTTCTATTTTTTTTTAATTAGTATTGTTGTAATTGTAATCCTTAATAAAAGTATTGTTAAATCCTGATATAGTGCTATTCCTGGAAATATTAAATGTGGTTCCTCATTTGGTAACTTCATAAGATGTTGTCCACCAGCAAAATTGATTCTGATTAAATTATGCAGTCTTTGGAATAACAGTTGAATATGCTGTTTTATTACTATATTTTCTTCTATCTCTTTTATCTTGGAATTAGATACTTTATTTTATTTTTTTATATGGTTGTAAGATTAAACAATAAACTATCCATTTATTTTGTTGTTGTAAAATGATAGCAGGTTATTTTAAAACTGGGAAACTAGTCTTTTTAATATTAAAACATGGTTAATATAATGGAACACTTTATTTCATATGCATTGGAGACCTCTGAGAATATAATCTTAGTTAAAATTTCCAGGTGGTTGAAGATGCTGGCTTATCAAAAGAAAATAGTTAAAGGAGTTTGTACTTAAAAGGGGATTGTACTTAAAAAAGAATTTCACATCTTTCCCAGCTGGATTGACATATTAGCTGGAAATCGTATTCCCATCATATCTGTGCTTCTTGTGGGCTGGTGCAGAGCCTGAAAATTTCTGGGGGAAGTTGAAATACATTGAGTGTATAATCTTTTGTATTTGTCTATCTTGTTACAATAATTATGTTAATTGGTTAATCTTAACTTCAAAATGATTCAAGATTACCTATTTCGGTCCTATTGAGGGAAATGTTCTCAGTTGATATATCAAGATCAAAAAATGATAATTTCCTAGGTTAGAAAAGATAAGAAGCAGATCTGCTCGTGTAGCCCACTAATGGTATTTTACTTTAATGGGTGGGAAAATTTAAATGCCTACTTCTAATGGCTAAAGTGACATCTGTTTCTTCCCAACAGAGAAAGGAGATTTCATTGCTCTGGATCTTGGTGGGTCTTTCTTCCGAATTTTGAGAGTAAAAGTCTCGCGTGAGAAAAAGCAGATGGTGCAAATGGAAACGGAGATTTATGAAACGCCTGAAGATATTATGCACGGCAGTGGAACACGGGTAGATTCTTCTTTAAGTATATAATTAACATTCTGAATACTTCCCATGTTGCTTGTTATGTTGAGTTCATCTCTTGTATTTTCTGATACTTAATTTTGAAAGGAAAAACAAAATTAATTTGTTATTTTAATATTCAAGGAAATGGAATATTAAAAATCCTAAAACATGTTTCTTGACAACTTAGAAAATATATTTTGGGATAAATTTCCTCTCATCATTTTCTTGTTGAAAAAAATGTGCTGAACTCCAGATTTTATTACAAAAAATGTCCTTTTGTAGTAATTTCTTCTAGTTCACCTATTACAAATATGGCTGTTTAGCATAGAAAAGTAGAGTGTACATCAAATATGCAGTGAAAGCTTGCTGAACTAGCAGACAGACAAGTCTCTATGATGAGTGTGGATATATTGGCATAGCTGTGAGCTAAAATATATATTTTTTATTCTGTTTCTTCATATGTTTTTATATCCATCTTTATTTTTCTTTACTGTATCCTGGGATGGGTGAGTATGATTAAACATTTTAAAGATGTGACTGTTTAGAAGAAAATTTTTCACTACAGTGCTTTAGGTAGCAATCCTTTGCATGCTTACTTGAGAATAAAAAATTAAATATTTTTTAAAGTTGAACTTGATTCCAATAACTTCATGGATACATCCATGTGAATTTTGGGGGGAACAGAGTAGGAATACCTGTACTGGTTGCAGAATTCTGCAGTCACATCATTGCAATTTGTGCTGGTTGTTTGGTGGTTTCTGACAAAAAGATCTGTTTGTAAGAATGGGTTCGCAGTTAGGAAAGCAGGGTTGCTTAAAGACCATGGATTCACTTAATGACTGCTGGATTCAGTCAACTTATAACCATAATGACTTACAACCAAAATGTATATTGTAACTGACCAATTGTGGTCATAAGTTGAAAACTATCTGTATTCCAACTTATAACATTACTTGAAAGGAATAAGAGAGATCTAGCGTATTTATTAAAAGTATTGGCTGCTCAAATATTGTAATATATTTGATCTGATTTGATTAAAAATAATAATAAGCAAAATATAAACAAGGTTAGAGGTGCCTGAACATATTGCTTTGGTTCAGATGGTATAAGTAATAGAACAACCATAGGCAAATGGGTGTGTTTGCACTAACCAACTTTTGTGTTTAAGCATGCTGTGTGAACCCAGTCAGTGGGTGTTACAAGGGAATTTCTACAAGAGGGCCAAAGCAGTCTGTTTTAGGGAAAGAGGTCAGCAAGGAGTAAACTTTATTTTCATATCTAATTCACCTTTGCCTGATTGCCATATGGTGGATCTTCTGTGTTTATTTTTTATTTTTTACCAAAGGACTTTTCTGTCTCGATCCCTATGTATACATTTTGCAGCCAGCAGCTCAAGCTGCGGACATTATATGGATGGTTGGTGAAGCCAAGGAAGGCAGGAGAATTTCTCCTACTTCCTCCACTTAAATCTCTTATGTAAGTTAAAGAATTGGTATCTGCTATCACTGATGCTGCTTTTTTTTTTGAAACCTACATGACACCATCCATTGCCATTTCTTTTCCTTTTCCCAAGATGTACATTCATGATTGGGGTTCTGAGCCCTGGCAGCATGGCTGTTGAGCCTAAAGAACGATGATTTGGCCTGTTTGGCAATGGCGCTCTTCTCTGGCATCCTTTGGCATTGCTAATGCAAAAAATTCTTAGTTTGAGACGATTGATGCCAAGATTATTTCTGTGTTTGTTGCCGACTGGTTGCTTCCAGCATGATCGTGGCAGAATGAGAAAGCATCTTTGATGGTACTATGATCGAAGATTCTGATTTGCGTCATGGATTGTTGGCATCACACAATTTGTTATTTAGCAAGTGTAACAGCTGATAATTTTTCAGCAGTGACTTAAAAGCTATGTTAGCGGATGAACTATAATAGTGATGAAAACCCCTTTGGACTTGGTATATTAAAAAGTGCCTAACTTGACACCACAGCTTCCCCCCTGAATAAAAGAGAGACAATTCCCTATCTTCCTACCCCTGCTATACAATAGTATATGGCGCACTGTCTTGGACATTGACACTAGGTTACCATGAAGCAGTGCCAAGGTTGGTCCCAAAGTAAGAATCCTCAATTTCAGCCATAGTACCACTGCTGTCGCCAAAAAGGCTGCCTTGTTCTGACCAAGGCTTATTGAGACACTAACAAACACACACGTTAGTCCCAAAACCCTTTTTTCTTTATTTCAACGGCTGTGAATTTTATTCATCCACAGCCCATAATGAGTCTCAAAACAGTTTGTAAATAGTCCCATGGAAGTCTGCCAAAGTCCTTCAGGATAAGTCTGATAAGCATGCACCTTTATCTTCCTTGAAATGCTGCCAACGACTAAATTTCCAATGAGTTATACAAGGCCAAACGGAGCACAAATTCAACAAAGCTTCAGGTTTCGAACCGACCATTTACAAACAAAATTGCTTCCTGCAAAGTTTCATGTCCCTTTGCACTTCCTTTATACCTTATGGGAGAGGCAATCACCTCCAAGCCTTACTCCCGAACCACCCCCTTTGTCTTAACTGCTCTTGCCTTCTGGCAGCTCTGCGCATGCATGCACTGGGAAAAGGCTCCCCTTGTTCCTCTGGCTCGCTGCTGTCAGATTCTGGAGGCTCTGGAGTCAGCACATAACTCCCAGATGGCCCTGGCCCCATCTCTATATCGGACTGGCCCATGTTCCTCCCCACTGTCCAATTGTGCTGTCGTCTCCACAGGCTGCCGGCAGACCACAACGTGTCTTATGCCATTCTCCAAGGCGTGAATGCCTTGTGGAAGTGTGCCGTTTCCCCCACAAGCCCAGTGCTGTGTACTGCTTACCTTCAGGTGGTGGTCTCTTTCTGTTGATAGACCTCTAGGGGTACCCGAGGCTGCTGTGGTCACAAAAGGTCTTCATTCTTGGTGCAGCAGCTTTGGAGGATGCTCTTCCATGACGCCTGCAGTCTCCGGAAAACTTGTGAAAGCACACTTATGTTTTCACATGATTTTCAGAGGCTCTGGAAGCCAAACAATTTCTCAAGGGACTAGAGGCTGCATGAGAATGGGGCATGCTTTTGAGTGTAGTCATTAGGTGTTGGTGAACATTGGCATAAATGCTACTGTAGTATTCCATACAGAACATTGTGGTGTGTCAGTCTTGACACACATGTATTAGGTTTGCCATCAAAGATATATCAGTTCCCAGGTTGGATATTCTATTCTTTTTTTCTTTTCTTCCCATGAACGAAGGTCAAACCATTTAAATTAATGCATTATGACTTGCCATTATTTTCAGATTTGATTCTATTTGTCAAATGACATTTGATTCCCCGTGATTTTTAATTACACATAACAATTTGGGAGACTTAACAGATCAAATCACATTAAGACCATCATGTTTTGTTGTTGTTGTTTTTTTGAAAAAAAATCAGAACAGGAAACATTATATTGGTCTTCCCTATCAGGCACTATTAGGGTCACAGCTGCTCTGGAATTTTGAAGTCTTGGTGCATCTGGAAGATGAGATGGCCGTATTACATCTTTGACTTTGCTGAAAGTGTACAAAAAAGGATTTTTTTTCCTGAACATCGAGGGAAAATAAACGAGAAGAATGTGGTTAAAGAGCTTTGTAAAAAATGAAGTAATTTGTGTTTTGCTTAACGAAGAAGATAGTTCAGCCATATTATTGTACTGGGCTGCTAGTTCCTATTCCCCTATTGTAGCGCTTGTTGTCCTGTCCAGCCTTTTTCATAGCATGGGAAGAAACACAGCCTTGAAATCATTTTCTAGTCAAACTCTACATCATTTGCCTGCGTTATGCTGCATTAAATACACACCCATTTTGCATGTTAAATATTCAGCAATTTCTGGGTGTACTTTTGAAAAATATCAGATTTTTTGCATGGGATCGATATTCTGGGTAAATAGAAAAACGCATTGCTGAAATGCCATAGCCTAGGAAACATTGGACTTGGCCTCCTTAATAAAGAAGATCACACAATTACTTCCCAATACCACAATATTTATAAGTGGATCAGGAATACTGTATCAGATTTGGTTTACTTTTTTCAGGGAGGTGCTGCTTTCTAAATTCCATGATGATGATTATTTTTTGTTAAAATGTAATATATATAAAAAAGAAATTATCTGGAGTTGTGGTCTCCCAACAACAATGAAATAATCAACTGTTGTTACGAAAGTAATGGTTCTTTAATTATTTTTCTCATTTTTATATTAAGGCTTGTAATACATTTCTACTAGTATAATTAATATTATTAGATTACTTAACATTCTTTTGTCTTTATTTTCCTTCCTTCTCAGCTTTTTGATCATGTTGCTGAATGCCTGGGAGACTTTATGGAGAAACAAGAAATTAAGGACAAGAAATTACCTGTTGGGTTCACATTTTCATTCCCATGTAGGCAATCTAAACTAGATGAGGTATGTCTAATCACAGGTTTGCAAAACCTATGTCGTGGGTAGAAACTGCTTTGATAAATTGGATGCACTCACTCGAACTCACAGACTTAGCTTTCTAATATTGCTTGGGAACTCTGTATCAAGCCAATAACTGTTATTGCGTGCCTATCACAGCTTTACAGGGTGATTTCATGGTTCTTCTTAGATTAGTAGGATTAAGCTTATAATAGAGGATGATTTATAAGCAGCCTTTGGAATCAACAGTTGTATGAGATCCTAGAAAGGTGTTCTTAATGTATTATGTGATATGTCACTGAGTACCTTCTGAACTATTTAGAACTACAGAAGAGGCAATTAAAGTTGTAATAGATTTGTATCAACAAATTTGGAGTGAAATGGTATGATCTACAATTTGAAAAAAGTTGTGAACACCAAAGAAATAGATACCCAATTACAAAATCATTAAGTTCATTCTTAATGCTAGCCAAGTGGAACTTGAAGTCCACACAACTTCAAGTTGTCAAAGTTGAGAAATACTGGTGTAAATGATGCTAGGATATGTGTGTATGTAATTGGGAATTATGAAGGATAAAATTGTATAAGAATGAGGAAAATGAGAGAGGGATTTCCCTGACATTTGTATAATTTAAACACACAGCAAATATAAAGAATGGCAAAATGGAAAAAGATGGGAAAACTTAACAATTTGAGATTGTTAAGGAATCGAACCTGATTTGGTGCCACTAACCACTTATTATGTAAATATGGCCAAGTTTGCTTATTTGCTTTTGAGGATTTTCAAAAAGGTGCTTGCTGGATGTATCAGAAGATGGTTGAGGTTTTATTGGGGCAGAGGCCTCCAAACTTGGCAACTTTAAGGCTTGTGGACTTCAACTCCCAGAATTCCACAAGTTGAAGTCCACAAGTCTTAAGGTTGCCAAGATTGGAGACCCTTGTTAATTAGGGCTTTCAACTGAACTTTTACACTTTCTTAGCTGGAAGAATCTGACAATATAATCAGTAAGTGGACATGCAGTAGATTTACTGATATTTGAACAGATTTTCCATTATTTTAAACTATTCCAGCCCACCTCTCAAAAATAAGCGATGTGTTGGTGGAAAGAAGGGCCACGAATGTCTTGGCTAGTGTGGTAATAGTTTAATTTTTCTAGGGTGTTCTGATTACCTGGACAAAACGTTTCAAAGCAAGTGGTGTTGAAGGAGCTGATGTAGTGAATCTCTTAAACAAAGCCATTAAGAAACGTGGGGTAAGAATGTATTTCGGCTACCTATATAAAGCATATATGTATTGACTGATTTCAGACATACATTGTTAGATGAATTAGATCTCTTTTGCTGTTGTTTCTCAGTGTCATTGGAAAATAGCAATAGCACTTAGACTTATATACCGCTTCACAGTGCTTTTACAGCCCTCTCTAAGCAGTTTACAGTGTCACTATTTTGCCTCCAACAATCTGGGTCCTCATTTTACTGACCTCGGGAGGATGGAAGGTTGAGACAACCTTGAGCCGGTGGGACTTGAACTGCCAAACTGCTGGCAGATGGGAGCTAGCAGAAGTAGCCTGCAGTACTGCATTGTACTCACTGTGCCACTTGTTTATTTAAGAGCATTTTTATTCCTAGTGAAATTATTCAATGAGTCAATATAATTGTCGGGCTGATTTCTATGTTAAATATATTCAAATAGGCAAAACTGCCATTGCTTTAAAGCAGGGTGTCCAACCTTCACCACTTTAAGACTTGTGGACTTCAACTCCCAGAATTCCCCAGCCAGAATTCTGGGAATTGAAGTCCATAAGTTTTAAATGGCCAAGGTTGGACACCCCTGCCTCAAACAATCCACCCTGAAGTAACATAAATTATTGCATGATAACTCCACTGACCCATTTTATGTAGAAACAAGTCCATAGATAATCTCCATTGAACGAGAATTATTCTCAAGGCATTGAACATACATTCATGTTAGAATGTTCTTTTAACAAAGCTACAAATCACAGCAGATTTTTTTTATTGGTCCCAAATTGGCTACAACTAGGACTGAGTCACAAATGGGAGAGTTTTTGATGAAGGACTTTTTTGAGAAGAAAATAAGGCTACATTTCAAGGAGACAATCTGTCTTGTGTGTAAGAATAAGAAAAAAATACAAAGCCATAATCTGTTGCCTGACCTAATGATATGCTGGGCATGCCAAAGTTTATGGGGTTTGACATTTAGAATATCCAGATCAACATTGATAATTAATTTTGTCTGATATATAAGAAAATACTCTGTTTCATTCTAAAGGATTATGATGCGGACATCATGGCAGTGGTTAATGACACTGTTGGGACAATGATGACCTGCGGATTTGATGACCAGCGTTGCGAAGTTGGCTTAATTATCGGTACTAATTCTTTGTTCAGAATCACTCATAGTAGAATTTTGGTTTTGCATTTGTGATGACACGATCCCATTTGCTTCTTTTAAGGTACTGGTACAAATGCCTGTTATATGGAGGAAATGAGGCATATTGATCTGGTGGAAGGGGATGAAGGCCGCATGTGCATCAACACGGAATGGGGTGCATTTGGAGATGATGGTTTATTAGAAGACATCCGGACTGAATTTGACAGAGAGATTGATCGAGGTTCCCTTAATCCTGGGAAGCAACTGTAATTGAAGCGATTATATCTTACATGGTCTAATCCTGTGTTTCTCTTTAAGAAGGGGCAGCTTTTAACATGTGTGGACTTCAACTCCCAGAATTCCCTAGCCAACATAGCTGGCCAAGGAATTCTGGGAGTTGAAGTCCACACATCGTAAAGTAATCAAGGTTGCAAAACATTGGTCTAATCTAAAAGAGTTCCTTTCAGTTTCTTAGCTGTGGGCACCTTTGGACAATTTCTTGGCTAGTTGCATTAGTCCAGGGCTGTCAAACTCGTGGCCCGTGGGCTGAATGCGTCACGTGCTGACCACGTCCATATCCGGTTTAGTGAAGGTGGGAAAAGTCTGAATATGTCATGTGATGCCACCGTGACGACATGAGTTTGACAGCCCTGCATTAGACCATCAGCATTTAATTTATTAATTACTTACACCCATTGTAATTTGCACAGAACCAATAATTATTACTTGGGATTCCTTTCAGTGTTCATATTGTTAGTCTTCCCTACTCTTTTGCCCCAAAGATAGTGTCACTGAAACCCTGTGATGTAATCTAGCAGAAAAGTAACAAAATTATGTAAGTTTTCAGACAAGCTTAATAAAGACGCAAAATGTCTTAAAGGAATTGTCTTATTTTCGAGCATAATGTCATGATATCAGCATCATGCATTTCTAAAGCTTTGGGCTGTTTGAAATAACGCCCCAAAAAGTGAAAACAGATTGCTGTGGTGTAAAAAAAGTTTACATGTAACCCTCAATTTTCAACTGGTTGCCTAGCAAACATTGCAGTTACAATACACCCCCCCCCCCCCAAAGATACTTACAATCCAAAATATGGAACTTTTTACATGAATAAGATTTTATATATAAAACTGCGACCTTATAGATTCTGAGTAGGATGCACTTCTGTGTATTAGTTTGAATGACTGAACACCATTTTATTTTGTGAAACCTCTTTTCAGATTTGAGAAGATGGTCAGTGGAATGTACATGGGTGAACTTGTCAGGCTAATCCTTGTCAAAATGGCCAAAGAAGGTCTCCTTTTTGAGGGGCAAATCACTCCTGAACTTTTGACCAAAGGGAAATTGGAAACTAAGGATGTTTCTGCCATAGAGAAGTAAGTGCTTTAGAAGCTTCCTCTAGGTTTTGAAATGGATTTGATCCATCAGTGGGTTTTAAGAATAATTACTGGCTAACTTAATAGTGCTGTAGATTTGTGCTTAGTTGTAAGTACAGTGGATCCATTGAAATAAATGAGATAATATTAATCACGATTCACTTTAATAACCATTTATTTCATTAGTCAATTGAACACAATCAAACTTGCATTTAATCCATGCTTAAAAAATTTAAATTATAATATTAGCCAGTGTTAATTTTACAGCACTCAAAGATCATTCGAGATGAATCAAGGGTTGAAGATGGCCAGCAATTGCTTATCATTTTAATGAACCTGCAAGATTCTAAATTACAGAAATTGTAAATATTTATTTTGTATTTTTTTTTCTGGAATAGTTGCCATTGTTTTCAGATTGCACACTGTTAAACCTCATTGATGTATATCTGTGAAGTCTGTATCTGAATCTGCTTTTGACTTTACCCTTTGAATGTGTTTCAGGGGGCTTGAGAATTAGACCTGTTTGTTCTAATAATTAGAATTCTGAAGTGTTGATCATATTTGTAGGCCATATTCCAATTATTAGAAGCTCAGATATGGCTCAGTAGTTGTATTTTGTTTGCCAATAACTTCAGGAACAGGCCACAGATTCAAGCATTGAATTTGCATTTATGGAAGTATTTTCTCCTTGTTAAGTCTTTTAAATCTGTTTGCTTCCACAACAGTTTGGGCACTGTAACATCTTTTAATTCATATTGTTACTGACATCCATCCATCCATCCATCCATATCCCTATGTTTTTTGCACAAACACTGTGTTTTATATTATAGCTGTCATGGTATATATTTACATTACTGCATTGTATCTGAAAATTTTCAGTCTGTGCAGAATTGTGTTGGGAGGGGAGGGGAGGACATGTATGGATTGAAGAAAATAATAATAAACATTGATACTAATGCCATTAATAGCAAAATAGTGCGATATATCACTGCAGCAAGGAAGAAATAAAATTTCAATGTATGCCTCAACATTTGATTTTTTTAAAAAAGTTTCTTCCTGTCTGTGTAGCTTATTTAAAGGAAAGACATCACAAATAATGTTCCTGATTGATTGCTTTGTTGCATAATAATGCATAATCAATGCCCTCTTTTCAATTCATTACAGTATTGCAGAACTGAACACTCTTTGAGAAGGTCATTGTCCTTTATAGGAGTTAATGTCCGGTTGTGTCCATCCGGGCTCCCCATCTCTCTCTCTCTCTCTCCCTCTCCCTCTCCCTCTCCCTCTCTCTCTCCCTCTCCCTCCCTCCCTCATGGAATTCCCACGGCACCTTCTGGGAGAGATTGTTATAACCCATTCTCAGATTCTTCCAACATCTCCTGCAACTTGAATGAGTAACTTGCTGTCAGATTGTTGTGTCATTAAATTATGAATTTTAGAACCTCATATCGTGTTCGCTTCTGGTTTTAGGAGCAAGGAAGGTTTGCATAAAACCAAAGACATACTGACACGTCTTGGGGTTGAACCCTCCCACGAAGACTGCATCGCTGTCCAGCATGTGTGCACCATTGTGTCGTTCCGCTCCGCGAACTTGGTGGCAAGTACTCTGGGTGCTATCCTGAATCAGCTGCGGGACAATAAAGGAGTTGGCCGGTTGCGCACCACGGTGGGAGTGGACGGATCCCTTTACAAGATGCATCCGCAGTAAGATCTTGTGCAGTTTCCATAATTATATCTTGGCACCTGTTAAGAGCCATCTCTAGCAAAGGTCAGCCCTGCAGCACATCATGCTGGCATCTGATACTCTGAACTTTAGCTAAATAAACAGAATTCTTCATAGAGAGAAACGTGCAGGCTGGAATCTGAAAACAGTTAATAGAGTCGTTTTTTAATGAGATGGTGGATATATAAATTTGTTAAACAAATAAAGTATTTATGAGGATGCTCCATACCCTTTACACCCTAACAGGGATATCTACTTATACAATATTTGTAAACTGTTTGCCACTTAGGGCCATAAGCATCTCTGTAACATGTAAAACTCTATGGCTTCTATTATATTTTGCTGAGTATTTGTAGAAGAGCAGGTAGAATTGGGGGACTCTAAACTTAAATGTTTACAATCCTTGCGTTACCACAAGAGATCCAAATCCAGCCTCCTTTGAATTCTGTTGATTCTTATCTGGCACCTATTCAGTGCTGACTCTTAGTTGATCAGGTTTTTGTGTCTTAGTTTGCACAAATCTTCTATGCTGCAACTTTACGAACGATCCTGATTCTTCATGCCTGACATTATTCCATGAGTGCACGTGCATGAAGGAATGGGGAAGGTGGCTTCCCATGCTTTCCCCCCCTCTTATCTATTCAGGATCTAATTAACCATTGTATGGAAGATGTTCAAGAAATCCTAGGGTTCTAAGTAATAATAAGGAACTGAAAAATATCTGGAAGAAAACAGTGTGGTCTGTCTATCTGTCTACTCTCCCTCCCATCTATCCATCCATTCTATTTAGGCACTCACCCAACTTCAAACATTGGATTTGGTTAGCACACAATATAATAAACAATAAAATCACAATACAAAACCAAAGAAGAGAGGATCTGGTTGATCTACATAAAAATAGAGACCCAAAGGGCATTCAGCAGGGGGCTCCAGCCATCTTAAGTCAAGGCCCAGGAGACATCCAGGTTTTCAAGGCCTTCTAGAAAGCCAACAGAGTAGGAGTCCTATGGATATTAAGAGGCCCAAGTCATTCCAAAGGGCAGGCATAGTGCAACAGAGAAGGTATGCTTCCAGTAGATGGCCCTGTTTTATCAAAGGCATCCAGAGCATGCCAACTCTGCTGGCATGTATTCGCTGGGCAAAAACAATGGTACGTAGGCAGTTCTTCAAATAATCTGGACCCGTTCCATGCAGGGCTTTGCAGATGATGACTAGCATAGCTGGCTGGAAAATTCTGGAAGTTGAAGCCCACAAGTCTTAAAGTTGCCAAGGTTGGAGACCTCTGATTTAGGTGATCTTTTCTTCATAATGTATTGCTTTGAAAGCTGTAAAAAAATTCATGGTCTGAACCTTTGGAAAGGAACACTTTTATTAACTCGTAACAAACCTTGATTCCACTCCTTCTGCCTGAATGCTTAAAAATTGTATTTTGAAGGAGTTATCTCGATTTTCAGCCCTTGGGAGATAACTCTAATTGTTTTTAATTGTTTTGCTACAGAGGGATTTCTTTCCCCTGAAGAAGTTGCTCGTACCTTCTCTTGTACCTGTTACTCCATAATTCATGCAGAGGCATTTCTCACAACATATGGGATTTTAGAGATAAGGTTTTCTCAGTTTTCTTGAGGGAAAAGCGATGTTAATCAGTTGAACAAAACAGGCAGAGATGACTTTGGCGGGTCTCAATTCCATTGATTTATCCTCAGTTTCTCTGTACAAGTTATGTTGTTGTTCTGTGGGACTAGATAATCTCCTGGAGTTCTCAAATAGTAGTTTTTATTTATTTATTCATTAGATTTTTGTCTTGCCTTTATTACTTTATAAGTAACTCAAGGTGGAAAGGATGCACAATGCTCCCTCCTCCTAATTTCCCCACAATAATCATCCTGTCAGGTGGGTGGGACTGAGAGAGGGTGATTGGGCCAAAGTTACCCAGCCAGTTTTCATATCTAGGGCAGGACTAGAACTCGTAGTCTCTCGGTTTCTAGGCCGGCACTTTAACCACTACACCAAATTGGCTTAGTTACTCCTCGAAACCGTATGAATTGCTTCCATGCCTTTGTACGAGGAGAGAGGCTGGTTAGCATGATGGGAGGGTTGCTGAAGATGGCACAAGGGTGATCCAGGCCTCCGCTGTGAGCTATGAATGTGGTGGTGTTGTGCATTAAACGAAAGATGATTTCACCCCTTCTTGTTCTTTAGATACGCCAGGCGCCTGCACAAAACGATGCGACGCTTAGTGCCTGATTCCGATGTGCGTTTTTTGCTCTCTGAGAGTGGCAGCGGGAAGGGGGCGGCCTTCGTGACCGCAGTAGCTTATCGGCTAGCGGAGCAGCACCGGTTGATTGCCGAGACCCTGGCAGAATTCAAGCTCACCAACGAACAGCTGCTTCAGGTGAAGAAGCGGATGAGGATTGAGATGGAGGCCGGCCTCAAGAAGAAGTCACATGACCACGCCAAGGTCAAGATGCTGCCCACCTTCGTCCGCAGCACCCCTGACGGGACAGGTAGCTCTCTCACGACCTTTAGGGGAGATGGTTTATCTGATGCTGACGAGGTATTTCAGAATACAGCCTCCACAAATCCCAACAAGTATATGATCGTGGTCTGGAATTAGAGGTATGGAAATAAAAAAATCAAAAGAGCCCCAGATTGTTGCAGAACGAAGATTTGTTTTTTTTTTTTAAAAAAAATAAGGCTGGAACTCACCAATCAAAGATCTGCTATTGGTTGGCAATCCACATTCTGTAATTTTCTGAATATTGATACACCTACTTCAATATGCATGCTGGCTAACTGGGGAATTCTAGGATAGTCAGTGGAATGGCGTGCTTCCAAGAGGTTGTGGGTGCTCCATCATTGGAGGTTTATAAAAGTAGGAGGTTAGACTAGAACAGGGGTCTCCAACCTTGGCAACTTTAGGCCTGGAGGACTTCAACTCCCAGAATTCCCCAGCCAGCAAAGCTCCAAGGTCCCTTCTCTGTTATTCTGTGTTCTATTCTGTATCCCTTTCAATTGTAATTGGAGCTGAAGCGCCACCTAATGGTAAACCTTCATATCCGATGCACCTCAGTCATATTCAGCATTGCTCGGCAACCCAAATTTTGTTGGTGTGAGGTGTTAATATTAAAATACTACGTATATGCCTCAACTTTTCTGCATTTTCAAAACATTTTAGGCTGATTAACCATTTGGGAAGATCCATGTTTGATTTTGTTATTTTAAAGCCAGTGAAGTTTTCAAAATGGCTCTATATATAGTATAGATAGTCTAGTCTAGTGAAAAAGACTAGGCACTCCTACGATAGCAGTGTTTCAGTATTTGAGAGGCTGCCACAAAGAAGAGGAGATCTACTTCTTTTCCAAAGTACCTGAGGGTAGGATAAGAAGCAATGGATGGAAATTAATCAAGGAGAGAAGCAACCTAGAACTAAGGAGAACTTTTCCAACAGTGAGAACAATTAACCAGTAGCACAGTTTGCCTTCAGAAGTTGTAGATGCTCCAATCACTGGAGGTTTTTAAGAAGACATTGGATAACCATTAGTCTGAAGTGGTATAGGGTTTCCCGCCTCCAAGGTCCCTTCCAACTCTTGTTATTCTGTTATATTAATTATCTGTATTAATAACTAATATTAATTAATAATCCAGTATCTATTCTTAAGATGACTTATACAGAGAAAGGCAAGGGGGTAGTACAGTATTTTCTTCCTCCAATGGCCAACCTGATATTTATGAGATACTTACCAGCAGGCCACATCACCATCTCCAACAGAATTTAAGGGCTTTATTCCTAATGTTTAAAACTCCTTCGTTTGCAGAGAATGGAGACTTCCTGGCTCTGGATCTTGGTGGGACAAACTTCCGTGTTTTGCTGGTGAAGATCCGAAGTGGTAAAAGAAGGATGGTGGAAATGCACAATAAAATATATTCAATCCCTGTAGAGGTTATGCAGGGGACGGGAGAAGAGGTGAGCAGTACGGGAAGAGAATAAGTAATGCTACTATTTGTTAAATGCAATTTTGAAAACAAGAACCAATTATTTCACGACAGGAATTTCCTTCTCTTTTTAGCTGTTCGATCACATTGTCACCTGCATTTCGGACTTCTTGGATTACATGGGAATAAAAGGAGCTTGCCTTCCGCTGGGCTTCACCTTTTCTTTTCCCTGCAAACAGAACAGCCTAGATTGTGTAAGTGGCTCTTGTTGTTCACAAACGTCAGTTTTCATCACCTGCTACTGGGGATCTGTTTCCTTTGGCATTTTATGAATGGAAAAGCAATATAGATGAAGATGGTGCGAAATCCTACTGTTGCTGGCTGAACCACAAACACGGGCTTGGAGCAAGAGAAGCTTAAACCTTGGGAAGAAAACCTGGGTGGGAGTTCTTGTCCACAGGTACCAAACATGGGTGGAAATGTCTGTGCGTCTTATGGACCTGGGCTTCCCCCCAACAGCAGGAAGCTGAGTCCTCGTCCCAATAAACCCCTTTTATTTGATTTGCAATGAATTTCCTCTCCAACAAAGTCCCGACCAACAGTCTTTCATGATAGTTCCCAATTACAAACCTTCATCAGGCTTGGAGAGACACCACTGGCAATCTTTCAGTCACTGGAAATACTTGGCAAGCATGTCGGAATGAACTAATTGTTCCCTGCAAAGCCCCACTCCCCTTTCGCTCCTCTTTTATACTCTAGGGGAGGGGCCATTCATCCACCTGTGGCTTTATTCCCAAGGTGGGCCCTTATTCCTCAGCTGTTCCCTTCGTCTGGCAACTCTGTGCATGTGCACATTAAGAACAGGCTCTAGCTGTTCTTCTGCCTCACTGAGGTTTGACTCCGAAGGCAGCTGATAACTGTCAGACGGCCCTGGCCCCATCTCTGCCTTTGACGCAGAGCACCGGTCAGAGCCTTTCCCAATCTCCAGGAGTGGCCCATGCTCCTCCCCAACCTCCTCCCTGTCCTAATCTGCTGTCAGCTCCGCTGGCTGCTGTCGGGCCACAACAAATAGGCCGTGGCGGCAGGGTCCTTCTACAGTGCTGAGCCCTGCCTCTTCTGTCTTTTGTCATTGCCCATTTTCTTCCTCTAAACCCAGGTGTGTCTTGTGGTCAGGTGCGTCTTACAGTGCGAAAAATACGGTAGTCCTTGACGTACAACAGTTTGTTTAATGATGCTTCAAAGTGGCACTGAGAAAAATGACTTATAATTGGTCCTTGCACTTACAACGGCTGCAGCATCCCTGTGGTCGTGTGATCAAAATCCCAGCACTTGTTAACTGGTCCTTGCGTTTACGATGATTGCAGCATCCCAGGGTCACGTGACTTTCCCAGTCGACTTCCGGCAAGCGAGGTCAATGGTGGAAAGTAGGATTCATTTAAGAACCCTATGGATTGGCTTAATGGTTGCAGTGATGCATTTAACATGCATTTAACCGTGGCAAAAAAAAGGTTATAAAATCAACTGCAACTCACTCAGTACCTGCCTTGCTTAGCAGTGGAAATTCTGGTCCCAATTGTGGTCATAAGTCGAGAACCTCTACATGGGTTTCTCTGTTTCAGGCCTAGCAGAGAAGTTCTTCATTTTGAATTCCGATCATTCGATCCGTATTGCTTAGTATTGCCTGGCCTTGAAGTGGTAGCTTCTCTGGACGGCCTTTCAAACGGAAGCATTTCCCAGCTCGTCTGAAAATGCCAAATGTCAACCTGGGACTTCTTGCAGGTGGCATTGATGCTATGTTCATTGCAGGGATCAAAAACCTGTCCCCAGGTTAATTTCTGTCTGTGTATGGCTGTAGGCTGTGCTTTGACAGTGATCCTGAAGTGGAAATCGAAATAGATACTTCCAGGAATAATGGTTACTATCAATTTACATTGCTGATTTATAACGCAGAGCTGTGATTTTAACCTGAGCACCTTTAGGATGTATGGCTGAGGAATTCTGGGAGTTGGAGTCCATACATCTTAAAAGATGCTGAATTTGAGAGAAGAAAGTATCATATCACTTCAGCCTTTGCTTCTTCTTGTTTCACTTGGCTTTTCTGGATGGCAGATTTAGCATAGTTAACATTGAAGAGTAAATAATCTTTAATGAGATTTAGCTGAGGAAATGTAGGTTATTGTCCCCTTCTAACCCCAAGTTGCTTAGTCTAACATTCCACAGGTGTGGTATGGATGTCATGGATGTCTTAATGCCATCTTTCCCCAATCTAATGCCAACCAGATCAGTTGGAACTACGGGGTCAAAGACATTTTGGAAGTTGTAATCCCAATCTGTATTGGGCACGCAATAATAAATGGCTGTCATAAGTGTTCATTAGTTGTTTAGGTCCAGTATTACTTTTGGTGGCTATTTCTGGTTTGTTCTAATAACACATGTTTAGGATCAGATGTGGACTTTACTTACTTTGTTTTTCAGGGTATCCTTTTGAATTGGACCAAAGGTTTTAAGGCTACTGACTGCGAAGGAGAGGATGTTGTTAATTTGCTAAGAGATGGAATTAAAAGAAGAGAGGTGAGTTATACGTCTGTTTTTGGTTCAAGATTGAAAGATTGTGATCATTTTAAAATTAATATATTGTTGGTTGAATCACTGATGTATCATCACATTCTCTACATTGCTTAGCTTAGAATATAGTGCATACTTGTCTATAAAGTGAAGAATATGCAAAAAAAAAAATGCTGGTGAAACTAAGGCAGATTTTAACATCTGTTGCCAGCCCTTGGTGGAGTACTGGCCTTTGATGGTGATTTAATACATATCTGGTGTACCCAAAAATTATGTAAGGGAGCTTCCTATTATTCCTAACATTTTAGAATATATTGCTTTTTCAAAACAGTATAAACAGAAGTATTCATTGAAGGGTATTAAAAGATAAAAGCTAGATGTAGTCATAAGGAAGTGGCAAAAAGCAGAGAATAGATAATAAATGCTGGGCTGTCTTTTTTAATTTTTGCAAATAAAATAATGGTGTTATAATGTTGTCTCTTTCAAGGAATTTGAACTGGATGTTGTGGCTGTAGTGAATGATACAGTTGGAACTATGATGACTTGTGCCTACGAAGATCCAAATTGTGAAATAGGACTCATTGTGGGTATGTTTGAGGCCTGCTTTAATATTTTGCTGTGAGGAGCTTAGTGGTACTTAAAAAAACAGATTGTGTTTTCAACCATGCCAAACCTTCCTTTTCATTTTAATAATTCTACTTTACTTTCTACTGTAGATTGATCTGACGTTTACATTTCTCAAACCAGAAGCTTTTCTAGAAGCAATTATATGCTTTCCAGTCCTTAATAAATTCCCCTGGAAAGTGGGATCCCCCACCCCACCCCAACCTGTGATTTCAGAAGGCAGATAAGAGTAGATCTTCACAAGGACCACATTCAGCTATGCTGGGGAGACGCTGTTTGACTTGGTTTCTCATCAAACCAAAGCATTTCCCTCTTCTCTTCACCTTTCTATCCAATTATATTCCTTGCTTTCTATTTCCCTTTCCAATTGCTGCTACCCTTTCTCTTGACCACACTGAATTCCATTCAATTATGTTTTTGTCGTTTTGTGTTGGAAGGCAAGTATGTGTGCTATATAATAAGAGAGAGGGTCATGCACTGTATATGAGAGAGAATGGTAGTTTTTTTTTACTTAAGACCACATTCGGGATTGTAATTTCAGTTAAAAGGCAATGAAAGGCTTGTGTATTTCCTAATGCCAGGAACTGGGAGCAATGCCTGCTACATGGAGGAAGCCAGAAATATTGAAATGGTGGAAGGAGACCAGGGCAGGATGTGTGTGAACATGGAATGGGGTGCCTTTGGGGACAACGGATGCCTAGATGACATCAGGACGATCTATGACAAAGCTGTGGATGAGTTTTCGTTAAATAGTGGCAAGCAAAGGTAGGTCCTGATGAGAAATGTGAAGTTGTGTGGCTTTCTTTTGAGTTGTGTGCAGTACTGTTGGAGAACAGAAGGGTGTACAACTCAGCCAGAGACTGAACACTTACAGTCAGAATGTAGATGTGTGTGTCAGTACAGTTATTGTGGTTTCTTTTACAAGATCCTGATGATAACATCAAGAAGACAAACATCCATGGAAAGAAGGTTTTATGTTTTGTGTTTATGTTTGTGTTTGTTTATGCTTGTCGTTAAAAAATTTTTTTTTTTTTAAAAAGAAGACAAACATCCAATGTGAAGTCAGAAATATTTTTATCCACCACTATGAAAGATGGGTAACAACCATCCTTCAATTGAGATGGGCTAGGACTTTCCAAAGTCAGCAATGGAGACTGAGCATGCTCAGGATTCTTTACGGTGGAATGAGAAATAACAGCTGTTGGTCCGGGAAATAACAGGTTTTGATTCCTGATAAATGCGGAAGAATAGCTACAACAAATTGTTATCAAGGCCCCCCACTCCCAAAAAATATCAGGAGAAAAGCATGCTTTCTCTCTTTCCTCCCTTCCTTTGGCCTGTACTTTGCCAATTCATTGGTCATTTGGTGACCATTTGCAGTTATGGCAGTGATTAAAATGTAACTTCGCAAGGTATCCTTGCATCTAAGACACTGACAGGTCTGCAAACCAAAGGAAAGCTGAAGTAATATTGTTAAGCATGGCCGTGGTTTCCCTCACAGAGCACTTCATTTAATGCTCAAGTTGCTGGTTCCTGTTGTGGTTGCTAAATGAGAACTACCCGTTTAGGAAAAATAAGAGGGGATTGGAAATGTGTGAAATGGAACGATTGTCATATTCATCAACAGGTGTGAAAGGGATGTGGCTTCTCGGGTCACATGGATTTCTGAATCAGGGCTTAACAGTTTGTTTAGTGACGGGTCAAAGTTACAACAACACTGAAAGTGACTTGGGGCCATTTTTCACATGACCCTTGGAGCATCCCCATGGTCATGTGATCAGAATTCAGATGCTTGGCAACTAGCTCATATTTGTGACAGTTGCAGTGTTCCTGGGGTTATGGGATCCCATTTTGCGACCTTCTGACAAGCAACGTCAATGGAGAAGTCTGATTCACTTAACAACTGTGTTACTAACTTAACCACTGCACTGATTCACTTAACTAATGGCAAGAAAGGTAAAAAGGGGCAAAACTCACTTAACTGAGAAACAAATTTTGGGCTCGGTTGCGGTTGAAACTCAAGGACTGCCAGTAGTTTACTGACTATGCATTGGTTTGACATTTTTGCTTCATGTAAACGAAGCAGTGTAAAAATTCTCCTGCTCAATCTGCTTGTGAAAAATGCAGTAGATTTTAAAAACTTTTTTTTTTACAAGAAAGGAAAAAGAAGCTTGTGTGCTACCTTTTCAGGAAATTCCTTGGTTTTTCTAGGGACAGACTGTTGCCATTGAGTTCCGAGCCGAATGACCCATGTTTCCTTAAGTCATTCAATGTTTATAAGTTTATGCCTAAAGAAATCTTGTTCTCTATAAAAAATACTTAATTTCTGTCATTCTGGCTAACAGTGTTTCTGAACTAGTATTTCTGTCCATGATCGTAGGTATGAGAAGATGATCAGTGGAATGTATTTAGGGGAAATTGTCCGTAATATTTTGATTGACTTCACAAAAAGAGGATTCCTTTTCAGAGGTCAAATTTCAGAAACACTGAAAACTAGGGGCATTTTTGAAACCAAGTTTCTTTCACAGATTGAGAGGTAAGTGCGCACAATATATCTGGAATGGAGCTTGTCATTATCTCAATATATTAGCAGTTATTTAGGTATCTAATTTAACATTTTCTTCACAAACTCACACCAATACTTTGTCCTCATCATCTAGCTTAGGGGGTTGGGAACAATGGCCTTTTATGGCTTCAAATTCTGAGAGTTGAAGTCCACATGTCATAAAGGGATTGTTTCCCCACCTCTGATCTAGCTGAGTTTTTGACTGATTTTTGCCAAAGCAAACCAGTATCAGGGCTACTTAGTACCCAGAAAGAAATTACAGGAAGATCCCAATTGAGCAAAATCAAGAAACAAGCTGAGGCAAGAAGTGTCCATGTTAATCTGGGGTTAATTTGGATTTGAAGGAAACTATCCACTTTCTTTCTTGGAGTGTTGTTCTATGATATAACAGGTAACAGGTTTTTGCCACACCAATGTTCCGGTATCAGAAGGAACGTATTTTGCTTCAGCTTCAGCTCAGGGGGAAAAAAACCAGTTTGGTAGCAGTACAGGTTTGTTTTCTCTCTCTTTTGGCAGGTTCTTTTGAGTCAGTGTTGACCCCAATGTTGACTTTCTGGATTAGTCCCTACAGTTTTCCTGGCAAGAATTTTTGGAAGCTGGTGGCATTGTTTCCTTCCAAAGGCTGAGAGAATGTGATTATTCCCAAGGCTGCTTAGCTGACTTTATTAAGGCAGGATTAGAACTCACAGTCTCTTGGTTTCTAGCCTGGTGCCTTAATTACCACACCAACCAATCTCAAGCATAATGTAGGAACATATTAATATAAAAACTGAGGAGTAATGCTGACCATCTCCAGAGTGTCTTATTCTTCAACGATACTGTCTCGGAGAGTGGGCAGTTCTCTCCTGTTTTCTGTGACTAGGCCTTTTAAAAACCAGGCAAGTTAATGAAGGGGTGCACTTAAAAGGGATGTTTATGTTTGGTGGGAGACTATAATTTTACCTCACGAAAGGTATTTATTTGGGAAAAAAAACTTTATTTTGAAACATAAAAACATTAGATGAGAGCTAAAATTGAAAGAAGTGGGCTTGGGTTCAGAATTCATCATATTTGTAATATTCCCACTAAAAACAGTGATACTTCAGTTCATCTAGAACTAGGTTTGTGTAAAATCGCGTGTCCCGGGAGTAAAATGTTCTGGAGAACTTGGAAACAATTCCATTCCATCTTTGGACCAAGCTAGCCAGACTGTTTTGCAGGTGGTCCCATTATGGTGATCCAGATGTTCATGAGAGTGGATCATTTTTTTAAAGGATTCTGACTCAAAGAAGTTTACACCACGATAACATTCTCATAGCCTATTACTGATATTTCATTGGAGTCAGATTTTGAAATGATGCTGGTCAAATAAAAACATCTTGCTTGTGTAGAATTACATGAAACCTGATTTATGTTTTCGGTAAATGGGCCTTAGCTGTTAGCCCTGTGAGTTAGTCCAGATCAGAAGCACAACCCGGAGCATTAGCTATGTCCATTGAAAGATTATATTAACAGAATTATATTAATAGAAAATGGAAAGTTTTTCTCCCCTTTTTCCTTTTCCTTAAGAAAACCAGGGAGGGGCCTTTTTAAAACATCCCTGCATTCTCCCTCCTTCTGTAGGCAGAGATACCTTTTACACCTTACCTGTCCAGTCTGCAGTTCTCCCTCCTGTCTCCCAAGGTCATCCCCGCACACCATTACATTAGCTGAATATATAGTGCTATGATGGCGAATCTATGGCACGCGTGCCACAGGTAGCACGCAGAGCCATTTGTGCCAGCACGCGAGTTGCAGGCAAACTTGCCTCACTGCGCATGCGCGCGCCTCACAACTAATTTTCAGCCGGTTTGAGGCCTTTTTTGGCTTCCCAGAGGCTTCAGAAAGGCTTCTGCAGGCTTTTCAGGACGAAAACTAGGCCCGCTTCGTCACTTCCTGTTTTTCCGGAAATACCAGAAGTGATGAAACAAGCTTAGTTTTCGGCCTGAAAAGCCTTCCTGAAGCCTCTGGGAGGCCGAAAAAGGCCTCAAACCGGGCAAAAATCAGCTGTGAGGTGTAGTGCAGGTAAGGGGGCGGGGGGGGGGGGGGGGGGGGGGGGGGGGATTGCACACGCATGCATAGAGGGCATGGGGGGGCACGCATTACCTTCTGGGTGCTGGCACGCACAATTTTGGGCACAGGAGCCCAAAAAGGTTAGCCACCACTGATATAGTGGGTAGGGTCTGCATGTTGTCTGAAAAGATACTCCAGATGTGAAATCTGTGGGGCAGTGGTCCCTGAGCTAGTTTTTCCCTCAAATGAAATGCTTCGCTTTGGAAAGTCATTCACATACTTGACTCTGCCCCCTTCATGCTCTTTCTCAACAGCGATAGGTTAGCGTTGCTTCAGGTCCGTACTATTCTCCAGCAGCTTGGCCTGAACAGCACTTGCGATGACAGTATAATTGTGAAGACAGTATGTGGAGCTGTGTCGCGGAGGGCAGCTCAGCTGTGTGGCGCTGGAATGGCTGCTGTTGTGGACAAAATAAGGGAGAACAGAGGCTTGGAGCATCTGGATATAACCGTGGGCGTAGATGGCACACTATACAAACTTCATCCACAGTAAGTATTTTGTGTGAGTGTATCTGGGTAGGAGCAAATGCTGGATTCTGAATGGTTTAAATCTCATCCCCCCTGCCAGTCCATGTGTGGGAAATGTAGTCATTCAGTCTCAAGTGCCTTTATCACCACCATCATGTAGGTTAATGCAGACATGGGATGATGTTCTTCTGATGGTTCACTGTAAGTGTTGTGGTTTTCAGAAGATGGAAAAGTTGAAAAGATGGGACTCTTTCCCGGAGGTTCAGGGTTGGCACACTAAATTGAAGCCATCACAGATTAGTTTTTCTTCCCGTGTTGTCCATCTTTTATTATTATTATTTTATTATCTATTAAATTTATTTGGTGTCCATCTCACCACAAGGTGACTCTTCATGTGTGCAGTGTACACATATGTGTGTATAAATTATAATTAAATTATATATACATACTATAAATTAAGATAAATATATAATTTTTATATAATATATACAATTTATAATCTCCTCCTCCCTTGCTCTTTACTCTTCACCCATTCATCTTTTGGTCATCATATTGATATTCTTGTTGTATTCCTTTTTCATTGTTTATGGGTTGTATTATTTTACTTCTGATTACATTCCTTCCATTTTCTTCCTTTTTATTATTATAAGTTGCCTAGACTGGCCCCAAGGCGAGATAGGCGGCAAATAAATTTAATAAATAAAATAATAAATTCCTTTCCAAGTACAAAAATATGGTACATGTGACCACTGTATACTCTCTTCCTCCAGCATTATTTTCTGAGTAATAAATGATGGGCAGAGGATGTTTGTAATCTGACAGGTTGTTCATTTTTGTTTCTATGTGAGTGAAAATAAGTGCCTGCCTATTCCATCCACATCCTTGAGAGCACGTGCCAATCTGTGCCTCTGGCTTTCCATGGACAGTTGCTAGCAGGCATTTCTGTATTAACAGCCTTCCTCAACATTGTTGGCAGTTCTAGGAAAAGCAGTCTCAACACATCTTGAGAACACAGGTTGAAGAAGGCTGTTGTATAAAATGTATATGGTATTATTCTACATCAGAGGTCTCCAAACTTGGCAAGTTTAAGACTTGTGGACTTCAACTCCCAAAATTCTCCAGCCAGCTATTCTATGCTGGCTGGAGAATTCTGGGAGTAGAAGTCCACAAGTCTTAAACTTGCCAAGTTTGGAGACCTCTGTTCTATAAAATATCCATGGCCGTTCTTTTGCACAACCATCACATTTTAGTCGTAATGTAGGAAAAACATCTCCACATTTTGGTCATTCCCCTAAGAGTCACTTAAGTAAGATGGGTGGTGTAAAAATGTGATACATAAACAAATAAAATTAAAATTCCTGCCTACCTGCGCATAACTACAACAGTAGATCTGAAATCAGCAAGATGGAGGGTGTGTGTGTGTTGTGTTGCAATAGATCCCCTGCTGCTTTTGTTCATGAGTGACATGGTCACACTTTGGAAATGGCAGGAATTCTCATGCCCTACCGCACCTGCAGAGGCCAACCTTCCTGCCCCCTGCAAGTTAGGTGACGCCCACCCATCCCCTCCAGGCATATTTAGGTGATGGCGCCATTTTCAGTTGGGCAGAGGAGGACTTTTCATCCCTTTCTCTGCTTTCCTGCAGCTTTTCAAAGGTCATGCACAAAACGGTAGAGGAGCTGGCGCCCAAATGCAACGTGACATTCCTGCTTTCGGAAGACGGCAGCGGCAAAGGAGCCGCCCTCATCACTGCGGTGGGATGCCGACTGCGTGACGCTGAGCACAACTGAACTCTGCTCAGCCCTGGGGCTGCTTATGACTTCCAAGCACTTTCTTGACAAGCAGCAGTTCTGTAGCCTGAACTGGCAGGGAAGAGCCCAGAACTCGCTGCTTGGTGGAAGGGTTGGGGTTTAAGGAGAAAAAAAAGAAGAGTAAAATAAAAATAGAATGCTGATTAAGTATGCTGTTGCTGATAATATCTTCCACTTTGGGTCCCTTTGTCTGCATGTGTCTTTTTCTGCCCTATTTAGTACATTCCCCATCTGTAGATCATGAAAAAAAAATGGATAATTTAAGCAAAATGTCAAAAACTAATTTATGATTTGAGGTTCTAAAATTACAGCCAAAAAAATTGACGTGAGCGAGAGCAGGCGGTGGTCCCATGTCAAGTGTATTCTTTGCAGCTGCTACTATGTCCACATTAAATAAATATACCACCAACAAACAGTGCTGAATATGAGGCAAATGCTTATGCAGAGGGAACTTAGCAATTCCCATCTGAACTTTTCACCCGGTATTGTTTTATTCCCTCACCTTGAAGTTTACACTGCACTCCGGTAGCATTTGAATCTTCTGCACTTAAGACTCCCTTTAATGACCTGAATGTTCTTCTGTTTGCACTGAACCAAAGGATGTGCAGATCAATTAATGAGTCAACCAATATCTCTTCCCCCACTTGTCAATTATCGCTGCCATTTCTTTTGGCTTTGGTAATCAGTGTCAAAATTCCAAGCACCGTTTCAAAAGGCAAGTTTTTACGAATACCATCAAATGCCCTAAGGCAGGGGTGTCCAACCTTGGCCCCTTGAAGCCTGGCGGACTTCAACTCCCAGAATTCCCCAGCCAGCAAAGCTGGCTGGGGAATTCTGGGAGTTGAAGTCCGCCAGGCTTCAAGGGGCCAAGGTTGGACACTCCTGCCCTAAGGTGATTCAGATCTCTAGTTTTGAGAAATACTTTTTGCCTTTATATTAGCTTTGCTATTTTCCGGGTTTCTCCTCCCTGCCCCCTTTAATAAAAGAGTTTGGAATTCCCTTGTTATTTTATGTCCTGCTGAGAGCCATTTCCAATTTACTAAGGTCGTGAATTCTGGGGGAAACTTGCATGGGAGAATATAATGGGTCAGAGGGGCAGACTTGAGTTTCTGTCGGATCCATATCACAGATGCACATCCAGAAGAACCAAATCGGTGTAAGGGTACAGTATTCGCATCCAACAACCAAAGCTATAGGAACCTGCAGATCTGAAGCCCCATCTTTTTTCATATACTGTATATTGAGGTAGGGCTCTGTGTAGTCCTGTCTCTCCTCTTCACTTTTTTAAAAAACAAAATCCCTCTCTTGAACAAACCTATCCAGCCTTTGCTCTAGAGCAGAGCAGTATTTCTCAACCTCAGTAACTTTAAGCTGTGTGGATTTCAACACTTGGTTGGCTGAGGAATTCTGGGAGCTGAAGTTCACACACCTTAAAAGTTGCCAGGTTGAGAAACATGCTCTACCCGGGACTACAGACCTGGGCCCAATTTTGATTTTCTCTTACACAGCCTAGGGCGTCTGATAAATCATTCTAAAATTTGCAGGAAACTGAATAGGTATGAATGGCTTCCTACTTTGGATGTTTCTGTAGGACATTTACACAATTACAAAACATTAAAATAGTCTTGACTTTGCTATAGCCAAAGAACCGGAGGGGAAAATATGATACACTATACCTTCTGTGGTGATTACAGTAGAATTCCTAGTGAAATCGGATTGGTTTTTATGGAGTTGAATTGCACCAATTATACTTCTGAAAATGTACACTTGGAGATAGGTAGGCATGTGGGGAATTAGTACTCTAAAAATTCTTGGAGCATTATTCTATGGTTGGATTTGGTGATGCGATTTACCAAGATACTTGAAAAATATTATTACAGGTAGCACCAGTGAAGATAATGTGCAAACAAACCATGGATATCCCAAGATCTCAGTTTGATCTAGACTTGAAATTTAAACTAGAGCATGATTATAGAGACTGAACTCTGTTCTTTTGTTAATAATTACCCAAGTAGCAAAGGGGTCAGCTGGGCTTTTTAAAGACTCTCCAGCTATCTCCATTCCAATAAATGATATTGATCACATCATTGGCAACAAGAAACAGCAAAATGAAAATAAAGCAAAGCAAGCTTAGTATTACTCTGAATCTCAAGATCCGGATTGCCCTCTCTCTTAATAAGCATTTTCAGTACGCATTTTGGTGCATTGTGATCGAATGTTGTGGTAAAATGAGTCTCGCCCAGTATTTTGCAGCTTTTAGTGTGTGTGCGTGTGTACGTCTTCCTGAAGGATCGCATGATTCCCGTGGTTTTCCTATGCTGGAAAGTCTTTTTATATTGCCTACTAGTAGTGATGATACTACATAGTGCAAAGTGGATATTTGTGACATAATTAAACTTTATTTTGAAGTGTGTTTATTGGTGTCTGTTGATTCTTTCTTACAAGAATGAAAGAGGAATTTATGTTGTAAAAATGCAAGAGAAACCAGGGAGGAATAATTTTCTCCAAATTTTTAGATTAGAGCCTTCCTGAAGAATTCAGAAATCTAGCCAATTTTGAGTTTTGATAAACATGTTTAGAAGAACTTTCTATATTTCAGATCCTGAACATGTGGTTGCAAAACTCAAGTGTTCTTGTTAAGTCAGCAAACCTGCCTAGGGCTTAATCTTCATGGGTCCCAGAGTGAATTTTGACACGCAGATATGTTCTTCCAGGATTAAACTTTGGGCATGAATTTAGGTTTGCACAGTTAGCTTATTTTTATATAGTTGTTACAGTTTGCAGCTTCAGTGTTGAAAAAACAAAAATCAAAAGTGGGCGGGAGCTTGGTTGGCATAAAAATGGCCTCAGCGGTTCATTGTGTAATGCTAGAAAACTCACAGCCTTCATTCCTTATAAGCAGGAATTCTATGTTCAAAACAAGATAAAAACCTTGCATGTTAAGGGCTTTAATGTTGACAGACGTTAACGAATGTCCAGTTTAAATTGCAAAATCTGTGCCCATCTGGAAATTTTTTGTAAGTTTGGCAATGTTTACACACACTTATTCAATAGGGTGCTTATTTTTTAGGCTGTAAATTGGTCTAATTTCGGGAAACGTTCATATACATACTGATGCCTCTATTCCTTGCAATCTTCTGAAGTTTTTTTTTTTTTTTTTGGCAGATGTTTTAAGAGGGTTTAAAAAAACCCTCCCAACATTAAAAAAATTTTTTTTTCCTAAAAAATAAATCTTGATCCATGATTTTATTCTGTGCTGCTTTTCAGTTTGCTGGAATCTTTGATATGGAAGTTTATTTCCAAAATTATTTAAAAACAATTTGGGGTATTTTATAGTATATAAATCACTATTTAATAAATTTATATAAATCAATATTTTCCCTTTCTTCAGTGAAATATTCTTACCTCATAAATTATAATAAATATTTAAAGCATGCCTCACAGTACACTGTCTTATTGCTATGTTTATTGAGCTATAATAATGAGTGTTAAATCTGATATTCTTTCCAAGAGACTTCAGGGATTTTTCAAATTATGGGGAAATACAAGGAAGATTTTTTTTCTCACTTTGCTCAGTTTTGAGAACTTTGCAACATTTAATTTACACTCGTGGAGTTCTTGTTGGGGATTGAAGGAGGGCTGAACCAGTTATAACTTCAATGGGAAAGAAAAACAGGTCTGAAGTAACATTTTTTCCAAGTAATAAAAGCCTTTTAATAAAAGTCATTTCCCTTATATGCTTTGCAGTGAAAGATAGAAGGCTCTGTTGGAAATTATAGCTTGGATTTGATCCCTCTAATCTTCCTAGGACAACTCAAGATGTTCAAGGTAGTTAGGTTGAAGGACCATAACACAGACCTCAACTTACAACTGTAGTTGAGCCCACAATTAGTTGTAAATTATGGTCGCTAAGTGGATCATGCGACTATGCCTGATTTTATGATCTATTTTGTGGTGGTCATTAAGTGAACCCTTGCTTGCTATGGAGGTACTCTTGGAACAAACAAATGCTGGTTTCCACCAAAAACATCGCAAACCATGATCCCGGTACTCCAGGATGCTTCAAATGGCCATAATGCAGGCCAGTTGCCGACTGCTCAATATGTGGTCTTATGGCGGCCATTAGACTTTGAGATCCAGGTCATAAGTACCTTTTGATGGTTCCATCATAACTTTGAACTGAGTTGAAGGATATCTTTATTACTTTCATGAATTCCTCGTTCTCAAAATCCCAGTTTTCAGGACTTCCAGCCCCACCCCTAATTTCTGTTATAATTTGGTTCAATGTTCTTGAGGAAAAGTGATGAACAACTTTGAGTTTCCATAAGTACATTCTCCACAGCCTGCAAAATGCAGTTTTGATTATTGCAATGTGTGTGTAGAGGTAATTTTGCATATATGTGGGCTTTTTTAAAAAGTGCAGTTTCCCCTAAAGAGGACATTTGTCTGGAACAAAGCATTTTAAGCATCAGCCCCAGGATGGTGAATGGAATCAAAAGAAAATATTTTAGGAAGAAAATGCACTTTAGATTACCAGTAGATTTATATCTAATGTCTAGGAGTACATGGTGGACGCTTAACTTTTGGTCTCTATTAGTTCCTGAATTGGGCTCACCAATTGTTCTTGTTCTGACCCAAACCCTTTTCCAATAAAACAAACACAAAAGGCTGCTGCCAACTAATTAATTTTGATAAGCACAAGCCTTGCCAAAACTGCGAAGCTACCAAGAATAAGGTTACCTAGAAATATTTTACAACACAAGAGTCTTCAAATACCAACTAAGATACTGCAATGTCCACAAGGCTCGAGTTTCAAAACGTCTTTGGACATTGGGGCCAAGTTGGAAGCATTAAAAGGAATTTATTCTACTTTTGTGATTTGGTTATTTTTGTGTCACATCCCCGGGTCATCACATTATGCATGCCAGTTGCCAAGCATCCAAATTTTAATCATGTGACCATGTGGATGCTGCAATGGTCACCAGTGTGAAGAACAATCATAAATCACTTTTTTCCATGCTGTTATAACTTTGGTCACTAAACAAATGGTTTTAAATTGAAAACTACCTGCACAAACCTGCCATGATCTATTGCAGTATTTTTGATGCTACAACAAAAACCAGGCCGATGAAGTTGTTATTCAAGCCTTTTGGATTAAAAAGCATGCCACCCAATACATATGAGTAACTGACAACGTGAATCAGTTGGGTACATTGCTAAGCAACTCATAGAGAAGTTGGATGCTTGTTCTCTTTGGATTTTCTGTAAGGGTCAGGATAGCTGAGGTTAAGCCGGTCTCTTTCTGTAGCTTTGATGCAGGGGCAACATTGAAAAGCAATTCTGAATCCAGATCGGAATCTGCCAGGAGCACAAATATGAATAAAATGCCTGTTATCTAACCCAAAGACAAGAGAGCGAAGCCATCATTCCCCCCGCCCCCCAATTTCTACCACACCTTTCTATTTTTAAATGTATTCTACAGTATTTTCCACCTCATTTTTATGATTTACTATCTCTCTACTGACTCATCTGTCTGACTGTCATGCCCCTGTTGGAATCTGATTTCGAGGGGGAGGTCGCTGTGGAGGAAACTGGGGAAGGGCATAGTCCGGCTGGGCATTCAGAGGAAGACCCAGGGCCATCCCCTCTTTATCCTAGGGCACGCAGGGAGGAACGGAGAAGGGAGCAACATGGGTTATGGGGGAGAAAAAGGCCCTGATTCCCTTCATTAGCTGCAGCTGGGAAATCGGGATAAAAAGGGTGTTTGCGCACAGCACCTTGCTGGAAGCAAAGCGTGAATTATCTTTGTCAAGTCTTATCTGGGTTCTGGCATCTTCCCAACTGTGTATTTTGTTATCTTTTGAAGTCTTCAATTCCTTATCCTGCCCTGTCTCGTTAATTGCTGCAGTGTGGTTTGTGTTAGTTTTTATTTATAATTTATGTGTACTTTGGGTTCGGACTGAATTTCTTCCCTTTAAAAACTGTTCTTGGGAGTTTTTTCTCTAGCCGATAACTGGACATTGGGGGCCAAGTTGGAGGAATTAAAGGGACTTTACCTACTTTTGTGGCTTTGTTGCTTTTGTGTCATGCCCCAGGTCATCACATGTCTCTGGCCTGACCTCTAACCAAACAGGGGTATCTACAAAGGTGGGCTCAGAAAAATCAAGCTGGCCGGCCTGGCAGTTAAGTCCCATGTCTTTTATAAGGTGTTGCGTTATGTTCATAAAGAAGGGTTGGCCATTGATCACATGCTTGGGCCACTATTTTGATTTTTTGGACTCCTACCTCCCTCTTTGTGTCAGAGATTCTAGACCAGGGGTGTCAAACTGGCGGCCCATGGGCCGGATGCATCATGTACAGGCCACGCCCATCCCGGTTCCACAAAGGCAAAAAAATGTCATGATACGTCATGTGACACCATCGAGTTTGATACCCGTGTTCTAGACCATAGATATCCAGCCATAGGTGGTATTCAGCAAGTTCTGACCTGTTTTGGAGAACTGGTAGCGGAAATTTTGAGTAGTTTGGAGAACTGGCAAATCCTACCTCTGACTGGCCCCACCCCCATCTTTTCTCTGCCTCCCGAGTCCCAGTTGATCGGCTGGGTCTTCTTTTGTTGCCCTGCACAGGAGAACGGAGCTGGAAAGCAGGTTAGTGGGGTGGAGAGGGAATGGGAATTTTGCAGTATCCTTCCCCTGCCACTGCCCACCAAGCCACACCCACAGAACTGGTAGTAAAAAAAATTGAATCCCACCCAGCCCTGACAATTTTAAGACCTGTGCTGGATGGGGAATTCTGGGAGTTGAAGTCCACAGGTCTTAACGTTGCCAAGGTTGGACATCCCTGATCTAGACTGATTGCCTGCTGAATATTTTCGAAGTCAGGTGGAGATCATGGATCAAGGGCTGGTGGGTGATTATTTTTTGTTAGTAAAGATCATGTAACACATTGGCCTTGCAGTGACCTGTGCTACATGCTACAAGCCACAAAGCCCAGGAGAAAAAATAACTGGAAAGAATCAAAGCATAAGTTTCCCCTCAAGTCAAAAATCAAAAGACATAATTTCCTCCAAAGAAATGCATTCCTTCCTCCCTGCCAAACTAGAACATCTCTCTCAAAATTCAGAACAGAATAAATGTAGAATTTGCTAAAGTCTTTGACTTACAACCACAATTGAGCCCAATATTTATGTTGCTAGGTAACACTTGTTAAACGAGTTTTGTTCCATAGTACAGCCTTGCTTACCCCAGTTGTTAAGTGAATTGTTGCCATTTTAGTAACATGGTTTCTAAGTGAATCTGACCTCTGCATTGACTTTGCTTATCAGAAGGTTGGTGATCACATGAGCCTGGGACACAACAAATGTCATAAATATATGCCAATTGCCAAGTGTCTGAATTTTGATCATGGTGATGCTTCAACAGCCATGAGTATAAAAATGGTTATAAGTCCCTTTTTCAGTGCTGTTGTGTCATGCCCATTAGAATCTGACTCCAAGGGAGAGGAGGAACAGCCGACAGGGAATGGGAGTGTGGCTCCAGAGGTTGTGGAGGAAACTGGGGAAGGGCACAGGCCAGCTGGGCATTCAGAGGAAGACCCAGGCCCATCCTCTCTTCATCCTAGGGCATGCAGGGAGGAGCAGATAAGGGAGAAATGAGAATGGTATGGTCTACGGGGGAGGAAAGGGCCTTGATCCCCTTCATGGGCTGCAGCTGTGAGGACTGTTTTAAAGGACAAACTGTGCATGGCCCAGTTCTGGAAGCAAAGTGCAAAAATATTTCTAGTCTGTCAGTTCTTAACTGAGTTTTGGCGTCCTTCCAAGTGTGTGTATTTCGACATCTGTGGACATCTTCAAGCCCTTATCCTGCCTTGTCTCAATTCTTCAGTGTGGTTTGTGTTGTTGTTGTTTTATTTATAATTTATATGTATTTTGAGTTTGAACAGAAGTTCTTCCTTTTCGCAACTGTTTGTGGGGGAGTTTTTTCTCCAGTCAATGATAATTGGACCTTTAAAGTCAAGTTGAAAGAATTAAAGGGACTTCACCTGTTTTTGTGACCTTGTTGCTTTTGTATCCCACCCTGGGTCATCACACGTTGTAACTTTGAACAGTCACTAAACGAATGGTTGTAAGATGAGGACTACCCATACTACATTTCCATGGCAAACAGGGAGGATGCAGAAATACTACAGGATATTTCTGGTGCAGATAGAAATATTTACCGTGCAGAATGTTAGTGAAATATGGCGTGCATTCCAGGAGCAATTTTGTCTTTGAAAGATTTCTTAGTTTTCAATTCTAACCGCGCACCCCAAAGGAAATGCAAGTGTCCAACTGGACACAACTTCCGGCCACACCCCTATTCAGATTGTGTCTCATTTTCACCCTCACTACCTACATTCTCTAATCGGGGTGTCAAACTGAAGGCCAGCAGGCCAGATATGGCCTGTGGGCAGGGGTGGGATTCAAAAATCCCAACAACCGTTTCTCTGCCCGGTTGCTGGATGGGCGTGGCCATGGTGAGCGTGGCCTACCGGAACTTCCGGGAGGGCCGTTTTTTGCCTTCCCCAGAGTCCGGAGGCTTCCCTCGGGACTCTGGGAGGGCAAAAATGGCCTCCCCTGGACTCCAGAGGCCCTCCGGAATCTGGAAACAGGCCCTTTTCCGGACTTCTGGAACTTTCAGGAGGGCCGTTTTTCAACCTCCCAGAGCCTCTGCGCAGACCCTGCACTTACCTGCATCCAAAATGGGCCACGTGCAGACTCCTAGGAGGGGAGGGGAGGGGTGGGCGGGGCCAGCCAGTCGGTTCAACTACTGGTTCAGCGAACCAGATGTAAATTTAACATCCAGTTTGGCCAAACCAGCTGAATCCCACCCCTGCCTGTGGGGTGCTTAGTTTTGCCCTAAGAAATCCTGGAAACAGTGAAGGACTGGCCTGCAGTGCCTATGCCAGCAAAAGCGGAGCCTGGGAGAGCCGCATGTGGCCCTCTTAGGCTCCATTTTTGGCCATGACAGCTGGCTGCAGCCTCCGAGCTCTGTTTTCACTGGCAGAGGGCCCCGCCCACCCTGTCCTATCTGTGCTCCCCCGCCCCCCGAGGTCAAACACAACTCTGATGTGGCTCTCAATGAAATCGAGTTTGACACCCACCCCTGATCTAGATATATCAATGGTGTTTGGGTTCACTTGTGTTAAGCAGTAACCTCCACATTCAACAGGCTTAGCACCCTGTGAATCCAGCCACTCTGGCTATTACACCATGGATTCGTGAGTTATTTTTACATAGGAATTAACTCACCATCTTTTGTTTATCAAACTGTGGCTTAGTATTTGTGAGCTAACCTGTATCTCAACTTACCCTTGAGCATTTACCACTTTCTAAAATGTAAAGCTGATGTTTTTATATTAAAAAATAATGTTAAGGAGAAAAAATATTTGGTGCGAGTGATGGCACCAAATTACGTTTCAGTAATTTGAAGTGAACATTTATCTGTATGTCATTTTATACTGTATTGTCCTTGGGTGATAGATCTTTTCACCCACTGAAGCTGAAGTCCCTTAAGCTACACAATACTCACCTATGATTAAGAGAGCAATAAATAATTGGACTGTACACTGCAGAACCCATGGCCAGCAAGAACACAGTGAGATAAACTTGTTGGATGTACTTCTGCCTGTTGACTTCCTCCCAGATGCTTCCCAGGATGAAGTAGAAATGATAAGGGAACCAGCAAATGGCAAATGTTATCACAACTGCAACCATTGCCCTGACAAACTAGGACAAAAACAACAACATAGAATTGTTTTATGACTGTTTCATTCTTTCTTTCCCATTGTATAATCTGACTACCACAAGGAATGGTACAAAACATTCTACATGAGAAATTTTCTGAGCTTGGAGCAGTGGCCATGCCATTCTAGAGTTTTGTCCTGAAGTTGAGGGAAAATGAGTGTTTTGTTCTTAACCTTTCAAGTAGTTGGACATCCCTCAATTGACTTGTTTTTAAAAACTTCATCCAAGCCATGGCTACTTGGAAAATGCATCTGCCAAAAAGCCCACCAAGGTGTCATGCTCCTGTTGGAATCTGACTTGGAGGGAGAAGCTGAACAGCTGACAGGGAGTGTCGCTCCATTGGCTGTGGAAGTAACTGGGGAAGGGCACATTGTGGCTGGGCAGAGCAGGGAAGAGGTAGAGCAAGGGAGAGGGAATTCTGAGAAAGATTCAGGTCCACCCCCTCTTCATCCTAGGGCATGCAGGGAGGAACGGAGAAGGGAGCAATGTGAGTTGTGTGGCTTATGGGGGAGGAAAGGGCCCTGATTCCCTTCATTAGCTGCATCTGGGAACACAGTGTATAAAAGAGGAAGCTGCGCACAGCAAGTTGTTGGGAGCAAACGTGAATTTATCTGGTATCATCCTGGCTTATCTGTGTTCCTGGTGTCTTCCCAACTGTGTGAGTTTTGCTGTGCTTTCAAGTCTGAAATTCCTTCTCCTGCCCTATCTTGTATCTTGTTTTGGACTGAATTTTCTACAGTTAAAGACTGTTCCTGGGAGAGTTTTTCTCCAGCTGAAGATAACTTGGACATTGGGGGCAAAGTTGGAGATAATAAAGGGACTCTTCTTGCTTATTTGACTGTGTTGCTTTTGTGCCATGCCCCGGGTCATCACACAAGGTTTCGTTCCTGCCATACTTCACTGAGGTGTAAGTTGAAAAATTAAGAGCATGGTAGTGAACAGGCGAGAGAGATATGCTTCACTGTTGCTTTCAGTGTCTGCTTGTGGATTTGATTTTTTTTAAAAAAAATATCAGTCATTCTTTGCCTTCATTTTTATAGATTGGGTAGCAAGTAGCAGTTGCACATGGATTTCTGTCAGCTTTGGAGGAAGAAAAGATCTACTGTTTCCCATGCAGAATTCTTGAAACTTTCATGGAATACTCTTGGTAACATCCTTAGGGAATGGACAAGTGGGAATGTCAGATCCGTGTATCTGTCATTTCTTCGGTGGAAGAAGAAAAGGGGGGGGGAGACTGATAAAGAAATCCTTTCTTGATGTAACCTGAATATATTTAATCTTATATCGAATTTGTATAACCTACACATGATACAATGGAGGGAGGAAACCCAGATGGCCGGAACCTATCACCTCTGAGAGGCACAGCCAGGAGATGAGAAGACCATAAACATTCCACAGTGAGATGTGTCCTGAGAACCTCTGGAAAAGTTCGTTCTGAAAGGGGGTGGGGGGAAATTAGGTATGCCCTGGGAAACTGTGAAAAAGATTGTTCCTTACAAAAGGGGTGGGGTGGGGAGGAATTAACATACTGGCTTTTGTTTCACTAAATACACATCGAGATAAGGGGAGGGGTTCTAAACTCCCTTATCTCTCCCTATAAGCCTGAGAGACCTTAGATGCTGCTTTGAACTCCTACATGAATTGTTTCATCTCAATAAAGGATTCCTTTTGATACGTTTGGTTTTCAGACAGTTCACCGTGCTGCACGCTGCATCATAGTGTTGTGGTCAAGCACCAGCCCTTTTCTACATGTGTTGCAACATTGCAAGCGCACCCCGAAGAGATGGAACCTGCCCCAGAAGGACATACTTCACATTCTCATGGAGAGACAGTCTGCAGATGCCACTGGAGACTCAAATCCTTCCAACAAAACATTTCAAGTGAAGCTGTTTCGTTCCAATCTGAGAACAAAGCAGCTATTCATATTTGATTAGTCAGCCTTTGACCAGCTTTTATGATCGTTTATTGACCTTGGCGTGCCTTTGCTACAAACCAATGGCTGGTCAATAGAAATGGGTTCTCTGTACGGTTCTTATGGTTAATATAGTTGACCTTCACCTTTGGAAAGATAAATCTATAGTTGCAATTCCTCAAAGTTTTTGAACCTGATGTTATTTGCAATTTATGAATGAGTGGCTTTCAGACACAGATGATAGACAAAGGATTACAATGAGGATGTGATTGGCCTTTCATGCAACCTTCATGTGAAGCTCTTGCTAATATAATACTGTGGTTGTCAAAGAGTGTTTTGCTCTTTTTCTTGTTTTCTTCTATTTTTTTTTTTAATTGATTGTTTGTTTATTGTTTATTTTGCAATGGCAAAATAAAATTAATCCTAAAATCTAGGCTACAGAAACCCAGATCACGACTGTATTACTGAAAAAGAGGAACCAAAAGTTCTGCTTTTTCTTTCTTGCCATGTGTTGTAGTCATGCCACACTTTCAGATGTTTGTGGTCCAGACCGGAGAGGCCAAGTGCTCACTTCATGACTCCCAAGAAAAGAAATGTATGTAGCACCTTAATTTTTTCACCTTGAAGTTCATCAAGCATGACAGATTGATGTTCTTTATCTTAATAGTTAACATTTACCTGAATATTCAACTTTACTTTCTGAGTAGGCCCTTCTAAATCTTTTTATCTTTAGCTAAGCAAATTAGGTTTTTCTGCGTATTTCAAATTGTTAGTCTGGGGCAGGGGTGTCAAACTCACGTCATGGTGGCATCATGTGATGTAGCACAACTTTTTCCCCCTTAGCTAAACCGGATGTGGGTGACGCATCCTGCTTGCGGGCGGAGAGTTTGACAGCCCTGGTTTGGGGTATCATCTCTCTGGGGTCCAAGGAAAACTTCTGATTGGGCTGGCAAAACTCCAGACTAATTGATGCAGCAATAAGTTAAGAGCTTTATGTATCTCTTGGCAGTCATCTAAAGGTTATCTAGATTTTAACACTCATGTGTAATGTCAAGGTCTTTATTTTCTTTCTTTACTTGTTCCTTCCAAACCGGAAGGAAGGACAGAAGAAGATGCAGAGAATGGCAAGAGTAAACATCATGAGGTCAATATTAAGCTAAGAGGCATCAGGAAACAGATGTTAGGATGATGTACCAATGTTAGTGTCTATGACACGAGTGTCATATGTTCTGCTCTTCCAGCTTGACCTGAAATGTTTCTATATAAGATTCTAAAAAAATCATAAACTGGTTGTAGAAGAAAGACCAACTTGACAAGGATATCTTATCAGAGAAGACAACTGCCAGCTGATTCTTTGTTGATCTTCACTGCTGTCACTCAGCAAAGCTGAACATTTCTCCTTTCGTAGCACATCCAAGAAAACCTATCATTTTACAGCTGCTTTAACCAGACTGGTGCTTAGTAAGTGTAAGAATTTACTTGGAAGGTCTCATCTTTGTCAGGCGAGAGGGGCCCATTCAGAATGCCATGCACGAGGACCTCCAAAATCCCCAAGTTCATGCTGATTATTGTTGCCTTGGGAGTTTACCAGACCAGCAAGATTGTAACACGTGACCCAAGTCAGCAGATGAATTCTCTGGTCTCAAATAAACATGCTGATGCTGTCTTGATTCCCAGCCTGTGCCTCAACTCAGTTCCAGACCAACAATTGTATGTAGGCGCATAAAAGCAGGGAGCCTTTTGTGAAAGGCTTACTCACTGTGCCTGGCTTGGCCGTATAACCTTTTCCCACAGACTTCGGCTCTAGGCAAAGCTGGTTCTTCCTGTCTGAAGTTCAAGATAACATGCACGACAACTGATTGGCTGGTCCCTCATTATAACAAGAAGTTTGCTCTCGGAAATCTCTTTCTTGGAGCAGTTCATGAAACTACTATATGCTGCCAAAATAACTGGAATTATTGCAGAGGTCTCCAAACTTGGCAACTTTAAGACTTGTAGACTTCAACTCTGACTGGCTGGAGAATTCTGGGAGTTGAAGTCCACAAGTCTTAAAGTTGCCAAGTTTGGGGGCCCCCTGAATTATTGCAATTGGTACATTTCATATGAAATCACAGCATTTTGTCAATGGGGGTTGGTGCCATGAATACCAGAATTAATATTACTTGATAATGCAACAGTAAGCTGCTTATAAAAACTTTGATATTATATTTACTTTAGCCCTGTAAGATATTGCTGATGAAAAAGTATCCCAGTTCATGCTGTGGCATGTCAGCTATGCAGAATTCATTTGTTTCCTTTTTAAAGGACTCAGAGTACAAGGTTGGGATTTCAAAGATGACAAGAAGTGACATCCCCAAATTCTTGCCCCAAATTTTACAGTTGCTTTACAAAGATTGTTACTGAAGACATAATCTATATATATAAAAGCGAAATACCCCTCACGCATCATCACAAAATCTCCAGAACCGTAAGGCCTACAAACTTGAAATTTGGCATGTATGTTCCTCTTAGCTTCTAGGTGCTCATTAAGAAAGGATTTTTCGAAATGACCATCAGAGCATTAGTATTTTCTATATTATTATGAATATGCTCTGGTGCTAAGGAGTTCTACTCCCCCTCCCCACCTGAAAAGAAATCTGTTCCAAATGCAAAACACAAGCAGAAGAGAGGAGTTTCAGTTTCAGTTTCACAGCAGCAAGCAGCTTTAGTAATGAAACGGTTGAGCTAGGCCACGCCCAGGCTCCTGTGCTGTCTTCTTGCTCACACAGCAAATATTCTTTCAGTTTCCAAACAGCCCTCAACTCTCTCTCACAGACAGGATTCTAGACAGATGAATACCGATGGATGCTGGTAGGCAGAGGCAGAATCCCCCCCCCTTATTTTCCTCCCCAAAAACTAAGCCCGAATACATAGTTTCGTAGCGAAGCTAGTTGATTTATAATCTTCTGGGAATAAATGTGCAATTGTGCAGTGGTATGAGACTTGCAATGGATTTATATTACAGTTCCACTTTAAGGTACTTTTTGGGGGGAGTGAACAAAGTACTAACCTTTTTCTTGGCTATGATCTTACGTTGATAGTACACCATGTTAGTGTGATCTCCAGGAACATCATTATGCCACAGAGTTATTCCTATTGCACTGTATGTGACAAACATCACAGTGAGAGGCAGTACATAAATCATGAGAATGATAGCTATGTGATACCTAAACAAGAAAAAGAAAGAAGGAAAAGGAGAAAGGCTTGAGTGTGAATGATCAGGGGTAAATATTTCCCTTCCTTTAGTAAGAACTTTCTCTGTGATACTGAGGGCAGTCTACATCTACATGATTAAAGCTATGATGGTGCAATCAAAACTCCGCCTGGCTTTTAATGTGTGTGTCTCATGATAAATGTCCATTAATTATGGCACCACCCTCTTTTTAACCAGCATTGCATAATGATAAATATTGAAAAAGGGCAGGGCTTTAAATTAGACAGAAGAGTTACCATCTTGACTTTTTTTTTTTTTTGAAAGGCCCTGTGGAGGCCCCAATTCCAAACAGAAACCAGTCAAGCTTTCCTATCAATGATGTATGGAACAATCTTCGACCAAGAGCTCTTCAGACAAGGAAGCGAGTGAAAAATGGCCTTTGGACACCATCTTCATTCTTCCTTGTGTGAGACACTTAGAGCAAGATCTGGCACTGAATTACAGTGCTCTGATGACAACACCGGAGAGCGCATGATCACCTTCGTTTAGAGCAGAGGGTCTCCAAACTGGGCAACTTTTAAGACTTGTGGACTTCAACTCCCAGAATTCCACAAGTCTTAAAGTTGCCAAGTTTTTGGGGACCCTTGGTTTAGGGAATTGGAATTGTTCATTAATGGCAATGAAAAACTGTCTGAAGTCATGATGGCACTATGTGGGATATAAGGAAACAAAGTGCAAAGGAAATGGTGAGAACCCGTGAACGTGACTTGGTCGTAGTAAATGTTGTTTTTCTTTCTTCCGAAAGGAGAGGGAATGGAAAGATTGCACGGTAAAGAACTTTTGTTCCTTGTAGCACCAGGAAGCACTTTCAGTCTCATTTTTTTTTTCATGAATTCTTATCTCTCCTGTATCTGCCTTAGTTTTTCTCTCTTTGTTCCAGAATCGCCAAGATGTAGAAAGTTGTGATGCATCAAGCAGCCTTTAGATGCTTCCACATGTTTAAACTGATAAAATAAATATTCAGACAAAGCTCGTTTTCATAACTGACATGCCAGGAATTGCTTGCAGCAGTTAACTCACTTCTGTAATACTAGCTGGTATCTTTCTTAATGTGGTTTATGCACTTCACATTCCCATTTCAGCCAGTAGACACCATTGTTAGCTAGCGAATTATTTGGGGCTCCATTGGGACACAGTGTGTATATGTATACCGTTTCCCTGAAAATACGACCTACCCTGAAAGTAAGTCGTAGCTTGATTTTTACATATGTACCCAATATAAGCCCTACCCCCCAAACTAAGCCCTAATTAAGATTCCTAAGCTAGGGTGGGGATGGAGGGGGTTGTCCACATAGTCTTAAAGTTGTCTTAAAGTTGTCACGGTTGGACACCTCTGTTCTTAAGTCTGGTTGGATAAAATTTGAGGCTTTGACTAAATTCCAAGTGCTTCACTTTTGGGAGAGGTGGGGAAATTCCTGATCCAATCCAATGAAGATAAAAACAACTTTTTTGGAGCTATCAATCATTGGGCACTCCTGTTCCTCCTCTATGCTTGGATTAGATTTGTCAAAATACCGTATATTTCTCACTTCAGTCTATGTGGGAGACTTACGTGCAGAGGTGGACTGCTGGGGGCTCACAGGGGCTCAGGAGAGCCCCTAGCTAAGATTCTGTGGGGCTTGGAGAGCCCCCAATAACCTCAGAAAGACAAGCAGCAAGGGAAAGCTCTTGATAGGCTTAATTGAACTTCTGGGCATTCAGCCAAGAGCATTTCACACCTCGTAAAAGTGTTTGCAAGCTAGATAAACAATCCACTTAGCGCTTGCAAGGGAGAGCCATTGAGCAAATCAGATAACATAGCCACTGGCCTCCGAGGGGATTAATTCCCCAATAATAAGACTCATGTAACTTACCAGAAACTCCACTAAGACTCCAAGATCCCTCTCACAGTCCCTGCTATTAATCCAGTCTTTTATTTAAGTATTAAATGCACGAAATAATAAACAACATTTTGGTATATATCTTTTTTTAGGTAATTAGGACAAAGAAGCGACGTTGAGTTGGCGACACCCACCCAGTCACAGGACCACCCGGCCACGCCCACCCAGCCAGTTATTAGGGCAGAGGTCCCCTTGCTAAAACAAATTTGAAGCCCGCCCCTGCTTACGTGAGCTGCTGTCTTTGGCTGTGATTGTGTGGCCAGCTCACAACACATTTGGCCAGTCCATGGTCTGCAATGACTTGTGCATAAAAGAACTGTGGAAAAGCAAGTGCACAAGCCACCAGCCAGATTATTCCTATGATCCGTTTTGTGTTTGCTGGGGAAAGTTTTTGCTTGAAAGGGTGAACGATTGCCATATACCTGAAAGAAACAGGAAAGGGTCAGAAGGAATGGATTTTTCCATTGAACAACTACGCTGAGAAGCTTACAGTCAAGACAAAGTTATTGTTTCTACATTAATTTGTAGAAAATGTCAGCCTAGTACATTCTCAGGTTTTCCACAGTTAATCGCTTCTGACTTATTTTAAGAGCAATATGGATCTTCCCTAACACATTTCCTAGGTAACAAAAGGATCTGAGAAGTGAGGGAAAAGGAAGAATGTAGATGACAGAAAAAGAACAGGAAATCACCTGCCCAATTAACAACTGTTTCAACCCTGCTCCTTTAAAATGCTAGAAAAAAAATATTGCCATTCCTCTGGTCCAAAAAAAATTGCAAGGGGCCTTTGGTGCATGCAATTAAACTTTTAAGGATCTACGCCCCACAATTATTTCAATATATATATCCAGGAATATGCACAATTTCTAAAATGTAAAAAAATGAAACGAAATAAAAATACTGTGAGATGCAAAGCCATGCTTTCTCACCTCAGGTTCCGAGGGTCATAATGTATGCTCTCTTTAGTGCTCTAAGTGCCAACCTGTCTCCTTGATGGTCTCAACTCACCTTGTAAAACAAGAAAGAATGGTCCATCTCTTTTGCCCATCTCCCTAGCACGGTGATGGCTAACTTTTTCGGCAACAAGTGCCCAAAGTGCATGCACATCCCCAAAATGCAATATGTGCGCTCGCCCCCGCATGGGCCCCGCCCCCACACACGTATGTCTCCTGTGTCTCCCACATGCCCCCACCCCTGCACATGCATGCGCATCCCCGTGCATGCGCCCGCACCCCCATGCGCCCTGTCCCCCGCATGTACCCCATCCCCCATGCATGGGCGACAGAGACCTGAAGACCAGCTGGCCAATGGGAGGCATGTGAGCATGTGCCGTGGAGCTGAGCTGAGTGGTGGGATTCAAATTTTGTTTACTATCGGTTCCGTGGGCGTGGCTTGGTGGCCGTGGCAGGGGAAGAGATACTGTAAAATCTCCAGTCAGAGGTGGAATTCTCCACTACCGGTTCTCCAGAACTGGTCAGAACCTGCTTGAATGCCACCTCTGATGCCATCGCAGCCCTAGCATATTGTTACCAACGATCTTGGATTGTGCAGATATAAATCCCAATGCAAGGTCCTGTGTAATTGTTCCCCACCCTGTTCTTTAAAATGACACATTACTTTATGCAAACTCTAATCCAGGAGTTCCCCAACCTTGGCAACTTTAAGACTTGTGGACTTCAACTCCCAGAATTCTCTGGCCAGCTTTGCTGGAGCTTTGCTGGCTGGAGAATTCTGGGAGTTGGTCTACAAGTCTTAAAGGTGCCAAGGTTGGAGACCTCTGCTCTAATCTCTGTGAGATAGAAGAGAAAAATTAAAGGGCAGTTTTTACAGGACCACTTTTCCTTCAGTTTTTCTAACAGAAATAGGCTGTCTTAGTTTGACTCTTGATGTCTTAGTTTGACTCTGATTTGTGTATGTAGTTTTGGAAATGTTATGAGTCACTTTCCTTTTAACCCGTTAAGGATTGTCCAATCTTATCCCTTGCAGCTCAAAGCTGCATGTTGAAAAGCTTTCTATCTCACACCTGTGTTTTACTGTCATATCAGACGACTAATTTATACTTTGCTTGGAGGGCAATGAACTGTTGCGTACATCTGTTATGATTTTAGTGCAGCTGTGAGAACATTTCATTTTTGTCAACACTGATCTTCCCAATTCATTTTTTTCTGCATCTGCATAGCTAATCTAGAATCCCTTGAAAAATAAAACGTGGGCTGTTTATCTGCCCTGGGCAATTCATGTACATAGAAAATACCTGAAGGATATACTGACTTGCATATTTGATCAATTTTAAAGACTTTTTACACTTTCATTTAGCCAAATCAAATTGTATACAATCGCTCCTACTTAGTATTTTTTTCTTCTTCTTTTCTTTTCCTTTCCTTTCCTTTCTTTTCCCCTTCCCTTCCCATCCCTTTATTTTATTTTTGTGAAAAGATCTCTAGGTTTCTTGCAGTAGAGCACAAAAGAATGTTTAGGGATGACAAATATTTTTCCTGGCAATGTTTTTCAGCCCTAAAAAAGATGCACGAAAAGCAAAAACGTAATAGGTGAACTTGGCTCCGATCTTACTACAGGTAGTCCTCGACTTACAACAGTTCATTTAGTGAACATTTGAAAAAAAAAACTAACCTATGACCGTTTTTCACGCTTATGACCACTGCAGGTCACATGATCAAAATTCAGATGCTTGGCAACTGACTCATAATTATGACGGTTGCAGTATCCTGGGGTCGTGTGATTTGGTTAACAACCATATAGTAATATGGTTAACAACTCTAGGGATTCACGTAACAACTGTGGAAAGAAAGGTTGTAAAATGAGGCAAAATTCACTTAACTAATGTCTGACTTAGCAATAAAAAATGTGGTCGTAAGCCAAGGATTACCTGTGTCTGCTCCTTGCCTCCGCCCATCCGCTATGATTGCTAAGACAACCCAAAGGCACTGAAAAGGGCAGCTATCTGGGAATAAAATTGGTCTTTCTCAAATGAATGTCTACTCTACTGGGTGCCCCTTTGCTTAGGACTCAGGGCTAGTATCTTTTGATGTCTAATTGTACTATGATAAAACACCACCATGTGAGAAACTCGGGAGCAATTTTTCATGAGGATTTAATGTTGTTATATTTGGTTTTTTTTTTTTTTTGTGATTCACAGGATACAGCTGATTCAGAAAGAGCAGGTCTTGCCAGTCCCACTTCAGCAGAATAAGTTTCTGAACAAGTCGAGCAAAAACATCTTTGGTGTATTGTCCTTTTCCAAAAAGGAGAAAGCCAGTTTAATTTGGGCCTTCTGCTTGTTCAGAATAGACCATGCAATAAAACCTTTTCCTGGATGGCAATTCAATAGATTCTCCATGAAGAGGAACAAATTTCTCCTGCAATATTTTGCATTATAGCATCATTAATGACATACATTGACATACACAATGTAATTTGTATCATTTCACATAAACAATATAAAATTGTATGATGTCTTAGTTTCTGATTGACTTTTTGGCTTTTCTTAATTGATGCTCCTTAACCCTTTTTATGGTTGTTGCCCCTAAAATGCATGCAAAAAAGGAGCAGGGCTTTGATCTCGAAGTCTTGGCTGCCATTTTGATTTCTTGACTTCTCCATTCCCTGTGGGCACCCCTGCACATAAGCATATAGGTTGTTTTGGTCAGAATATTGATACCTGGGAAATGTTAGTACACAAACTCTTTATAAAAGCGAGATTCTACCCAAGGACAGAGCTGGAGAAACATCGAGTCTTACATGGTCTTAAAGTGCAAACAAAGTACTTAAAGTTCGTAGAAGAGTACTAACAAAGACTAATAAACCTATTGCAAAGACTGATAAAGATATCCCTCTGGAAACATGAAACAACATTTCAATAATGTTTAACGGAATACCAGAAAGGAATGAATTGTTACCAGCAGTTGTGAGATAGGTCATAATTCTCTTGACGTCCTATCCAGCAGAATCTGAACAAATTATGTAAAACTGGCATGTTTTTGTAAGATGGTCACAGAAAGTGGATCTTATAAAATAAAATAGCACAAAATGTACATAGCAGTAGATAAGGAATGTCTTCGTTACAATTTAGGATTAGATTAAGGTAGTTTTATGCATGTCTATAAGAAATAAACCTTTTTCAGTTCCATGGGATTTATGATCAGGTAAATGTGCACAATAATCTAGAACTATATCATTAACCCTTTACTACAGTATCTGCACTCAAAACATCTGAATATGCAAGCTTTTACATATTCATATTAGTCTTCGTATTCTTCCATATTCATGATGTTAGTTATTCATATTGTAAGAGCAACTATTTTCTACAATTATATATCAAACATACCTTTATTACAAGTGAACACCCACCAGATGTATAGTTGTTATTTTTAATTCCAATGGTACTTTTAAACTTTTCATCATTCTTTTTCTTACCTCTCCACAGAGACAGCAGTCATGGAATAAATGCTGACAAATATTACAGTAACAGGAACAAAATTATGGAAACGGCAGAATCCCTCGCCAAAATACCAGACATTATGACAGGCATAAACAAAATTAAAAACTGTGTTTAGAGCACTCATAAGCAGATCGGAAAGAGCCAAGTTCACAATAAAATAGTTGGTGACTGTTCTCATTCGTCGATGGGACAGTATAATCCAAATGATGGTAGCATTTCCTATAATTGATGCTGTGATTATCAATAAGTAGGCAACGGCCCAGAGTGCAATTTGCCATCCAGGCTGGTAAAATGTAGTCATCTCAGTCAAATTAACATCATTTTCAAAAATCCGATCCTGGGAAGTATTGTTTATGCTTGAGAAGGAAACCATTGTCAGTTCTTTCTTCTGCTCAAAAAATCAAAAACCAAAGGAAAACCCAAAAATTGGCTGCAATTGACTCGATTTGAGGATCTCAGTCTTATCAATAGAATAATGAGTTCATCATGATTTTGTAGATTGAATTTAGAAGCATTTGATTCATTGCATACTGGTGTTCAGTTGAGGCAAATAAATGAGATGAGATTGCTGCTTTTTTACATTCTTTTGCTGCTCTTTTTCATTCGTATCACCACAATTTGTGATGAAAAGAATTTTCTTAAAAATGTTTGTGTATGTATGTGAAAGAGACAGAGAGAGGAGAAAGACAGAGAGAGATTAAAGAAGATACTGATAATGCAGCATGGAGTTGATAGACTTTTGTTTGTTCTTCCTTTGCCATTCAGACCATTACGGAAGAAGCCAAATGCGGGAGAAAATCTACACTGCATTTCAAAAGAAGGTGGAGAGACAAGAGTATACAAAATTATGCATCAAATCAGATTTCAGAAAACTGGCCCCTCGTTGCTTTCCAAAGTTGTTGCATTAATCTATGTTTACCCTCCAATTAAAGTGAGAACTCTCACAGATTTTACCCTACAAGGATCAAGACGTTTATTCCTTGGGTAATTACATTTGACTTTTTGACATCTGTGGGAGTTTCAGTAAGCAGAACTTGGCCTGTAGAACATCATAAATATTGCCAGAAGAGCTTGAGAACAGCCCAAAGCCAAGATACAGAAGATAGGAAAATGATTTAGAAGTCAGAGAAAAAGCCATATTTCAAAAAAATCTGCCTACTGATTGCTCAGTGAACCTCTCAAAACATTTCAAGGCAACTCCTAGAAATAGAATATATTTTCTGCCACCTCTGTACCCACAAACTCAAAGGGCTCTTCAGAGTGTTATTCCAAAACCAAGAAACAGCTATGGAAAAACATGTGGCCTTTCTCCACAATATGTATGGATAATATTATCCCCTTGTGTGGGAATTTGTGAAAAAGTAGTTTACAAGCACTATATGCTTCTGTCAAAAAATCTTATTTATTACATTAAAATTCATACTTAACCAGGTCAGTTAATAATTATATTCACACATTAAGTGTGCTTGGTTTAAAACTTGGTTAGTTTTTTGTGGTTTAGTATTCTATAAGATTATCAAGTTATTTTATGGTCTAATGTACTGTGGAAATCCAGAAAAACTGGTTAATTCAATATCCATGTTCGGTAAGCATAACCAAAGTTTGCATTGCATAGTGATTGTAAAGAAAGCTCTCAACATAGAAACACCACTCCCATTATTTATCTGTTTGCTTCTTTGTCAAACATGTACAAGATAACAAGTATTAAGTATGAGCATAAATAGGAACCAAGGAAGTAAATACAGATAAATTGAGACAGTAAGACAGGGGCAGTAGGCACGCTGGTGTGCTTATGCGTGCCCCCTTCAAGGATCTCGTAAGAATGAGGTGAGGTCCACAGTAGACAGTTTGAGGTTGAAGCTGTGAGGGGTTGAAGCTGTAACAATGGAGTCTGGTAAAAAACAAACTAATTAACTTCTACCAAGATTAAAGGAGAAAGTTGCCTTATCTTAGGATGAAGCATGTTACCTATCATGCTGCATTTCAGTTTTCCCTTTATGCTGCTATTATCCCAAATGTTTAGTGTTACAGGCTGGGTTTGATTCATATGAATGAATGGAATTGTCCAATTTCACTGGGAATGAATTTGACAAGGTCTGAATTCAGTCCAGTGAGGAGCATAACTCCAATTACTTACAAAAAAATAAAAGTCTTGTGTGTATATTGTAAAAATGATATAACCTTTTGTCTTGTAAATTACTGCCTGAGGAAACAAGCTAAAAACTACACCCTATATATCCCAAGATTTCCCAGCTTCAATTTCCATTTCCTTGAAACCTTGGCCAGTTTTCAAACTCATTTGAATAAGATTTTAAAGAATTGTGGTTTTAAAATCAATTCATGTAAACCGGTCCATTAAAAAATGAGAATGCAATTATTTAAATTTTAATATTTAAAATTCCTGATGAAAATATTTTAGCAACTTTTGAGATTTTTCTCAGACTCAAATTTTGCACAACAGCATGAAAGAATGGAAAAGACCGACATAACTGGATATCCTGTACTTGACTTGGGAAAATACTTCATTAAATTCCAACTAACATGATTTTATATTTACATCTTACTTCCTGGATTTAATGGACTCTTAATGATTATTTTACACAGCTGTACAGTATTTCCAATGGTAATTTCATACTTGGATGGAAAGTTTCAAAACTCAGCTGTTAGGTTTTATTGCTAGGCTTAAACACTAAGGGAAGGTATTCCTTGGGTTTTGCAGAAAGATTCTGTTCTGCTGCTAAAGAAAGAAAATACATTTAAAGGTCAAATGTAGGAAGTCCAGAAGAATTTCAAGCAGGTTCTTTTATTTTTGCACAATGGAATTATTGTTAAATCTTTAGCACAATTTATCAAGTAATACTAAAGTTTTAAGATACAGAGATGACCTGTGAAAAGAAGCGTGTTAGTAAACACAGGGGTTTTGTTAAAAGCTAAGTATAAGATTGAATGAGATGGACCATGTATAAAACCTGAAAGCTACTCAAATATGTTAATATTAGACACTGACACATTTCACAGCTCCTGTAATGCTAGTTATTTATTCTCAATCCCTTCATTCATTAGCTTGCTTGTTGGCAACGGGGCAAGAACAAATTCTGCAGTTGTTGGCTACATCAATGAACTATTCTCCCTCAAGAAAATAGCTTTTTTGTGTAAGGCCTGAAGTGATACATTTCTCTCTTTTGGCTAGGTTAATATCAATCATGCTAGCTAAATGACATCATAACATTTCACTTTTGTTCCCTTGAGTTCAGCGTGGGGATATAATGAGATGAATAATAATAATAATAATAATAATTTTGTCCTGTAGAAAATTTCATTATGAGAAAAAGATTCTAACTGCAGGTTCTCTAGGCACCAACAATACATTCCACAATGCTGGTGTATATAATGCTACAATACAATAAATCCTTAATGTTGTGAAAAGTTTTCATCCTTATGTGCTCCTAAAAATTTCCATGCCATAATTCTCAAAAGAACCAGGCACAAACCAAGAGTTCTGTTATCGCTGCCAAACATAATAAAACGACCTCAACAGTGACATCCAGATCTTAAAACACCTTTACAGGTAAGTGGAGGTAAGAGCGTGTATTAAGGATTCCCTTAATTAATTAATTAGTGCATGTGTATATTTCTCCATCTTATTGCATCTGCAAATAAGTTGGCTGGCAGCTCTGTTTGGATAGCTTGCTTCCCTTCTGGGAAAGGGGGAGTCAGGTGATCCCTTGCAAGATCGTGATGAGGCTTATGCTACACACACTGATGGATAAAGTTGCTGCGACTTCTTTTTTTTGGCTTGCTGTGACTTTTTTTTCTCTTGAGCCTTGGGCCAGTTTAGTTGTATTTACTGAAATACTGTTTTGGATTTGTTTGCCGTCCAGTTTCTTGGATAGAGGAGCCATACGAATTGGATGAATGAATGAATGAATAAATACTTGAATAATGGACTTGAATAATGGATATCCATAAACGTTGGTGACATTCTTGTGACAAAATTTCCCCAATGCAACAAGCAGTTACTTTTAGTTGCTAGAGGGAATAATGATGACTTAAGAATTTTAAAGAAGACTGAAAACAGATGTAAGATCAAGGTTGGCGTGGAAATATTCTAATCAGCTTCCTTCAACTACCACAAGGGAGAAATTCAAATTCCTTTTACCACATTTAAAAATGTTCTTGTCTGCATAAGCCCTGCTGTACTGTGATAATACGGTAATGAACTTTCTGTTCAATGATGTGGATGAGGTGTTTTAGCTTAGGCTAGCCAAGCATTTAATTTTTTAAAACCATCCTATTTAGATAGTTCATAGATGTTTTGTGATTAAAAAAAAGTGAATGAAAGCCAGTTTAATTACTTTGGAAGGAAGGAGTGTAGAGCTGTAAATTAAAAGTGTATCTGGGAAGATGTAGACTCTGAAGACCAGAAGACTTCATGCTTTAAGACTATAAATACATGTGTATAAAAAAGTTTCATATGTTACTTCCCCACTGAAACGTACAGGGGGAAGCATTAAAAAAATAAACAATTTTTCTGTGTAAACTTTCAAAATGATGTTCATGTTTTGCCGTTTTTATTATCTTTACTTTTCATTTTGTTAATATGGTTCTGCAGAATGAGATTTCTTGTACCCAGGCTGTCTGATTGTATTCATGGTAACTGAACTGGTGTCCAGGGAAATTCTCAGTCATTCAGGTCATGGTTGTCCCAAAGGTGCTTTTTCAAGAGGCAACTGGACTTCCTTTGAAGATGTTTTGCTTCTCATTCAAGAAGCTTCTTTAGCTCTGAAGAATGGATGAGAAGCGAAAAGTCTTCGAAGAAAAAACAGAACATTTCTTTGAAATTTTAAGACAAGTGTGCTCTTCCGTGTACCTAAGAGTTCACTCTTAAAAGATGAGCAGTTGAGAGCTGTATGCAAAGAAATTTCAGGTTAATGTATGCCGATTGGTGTCCATTCCATTAAAGTTATTCTAAGGACTCCAAAAGAGTTCGGTTAAAGGTTTCCTGTACATACTTTGGCGTTCCGGAGTTCTCGCCTCACAATCGAGAGGCTGTGAGTTCGATCCTAGGCAGATCTCCTGCTCGAGCAGGGGGTTGGACTAGATGACCTCCAAGGGACCTTCCAACTCTATGATTCTATGACTCTAGGCGGTGCTCATCACCATTACAAAGCTGAAGAGCCAGCGCTGTCCGTGGTCATGTGGCGGGCAAGTACTAAATGCCGAAGGCGTGCACCGAACGCTACTACCTTCCCACCAAAATGGTCCCTATTTTTCTACTTGCATTTTTACGTGCTTTCGAACTGCTAGGTTGGCAGAAGCTAGGGCAAGTAACGGGAGCTCACTCTGCTAAGTGACCAGTTTGATTATCCCAAAGGTGCTTTTTCAAGAGGCAACTGGCTTCCTTGTTTTTCTTTGAAGACTTGAAGTTTTTCTTGGGCAGTCATCTGACCTTCCTATTAAATGTTACCCATCCATTTCTACTAACTGGAGGAAAGAAATCTAGAATATATATAGTCACTCCACTTGCCGATTGGTGTCCATTCCATTAAAGTTATTCTAAGGACTCCAAAAGAGCTCGGCCGCCTTTGGGAAGTGGGAATTCAGTCAGGCCTAGCCCAGACTTTATCTGAAGCGCTTCCTTTCCGGCGACATGAGGAGATCCGCGGACCTCCGCTCAGGGCGTCGTTTCCAGCCGCCGCAAGACGCCAGGCCGGCTTTCTAAGCCTTCCAGCCCAAGCAGGGCGCGCCCATTCCCTCCTCTCGGTTGCTGCTCTGCCGCGCTCGGCCACGCAGGCCGGCTGGCGCAGGCGAGCCGCTTCCATGAGGAGCCGCCGCTGCCGCCACCTACGCCGCCCAGTGTCGCTGCCTCTGGGCTGGCTGGCACGGAGAGTCGCAGGTGGCGGCGGCGGCCGGGGGCAATGGCGGCGCAGGGAGACTCGGAGGAGGTTCGCTACTGCGCGCGCTTCCCCTACCTCTGCCTCAAGTTCACGCTCGTCGCTTACTCCACCGTCTTTTGGGTGAGTGAGTACGAGAAGCTGCGGCAGCGGCGACGGCCGCTTGCCTATAGGCGTCCCGGGAGTCGGGAGGCCAGGGGAGCCCGGACCGGCTGGAAAGGGCGGAAAGCGGACGGGAGCCTGAAGGGGTCCCCGACCGCCGCGCTCGCCTCGCTGCCCCCCCAAGCGCGCGAGGGATGCTCGGGGAAAGGCGCCGCTTCCAGACCCGGGAGGGCCACACAGGTGGTTGTTTCGGAGAGGCGGAGACTTTCCTGAGGGAAACGCGGCTCTCCGGGTTGAAAGTTGGGCTTATTGGGGAGGCTGCGGGAGTTTGCCTGCGGAGGAGGCGGTCGGGTGGCCCCGAGTTTCCGCGCAGTTTGGCGACCTTTGTGAGCGGAGGGGAGGCCGAGCATGGCTCGCGCGGTCTCCGCTCGAAATCCCCGGTCGGAGGCGGCCGCGCCCGGTCGGGGTTGAAAGCGCAATAACGTCCCTGCAAATAGAGGAGGTTGTGAGGCTGAAGCAAAGTCCCCTTTGGCTCGCCTGGGGCACTTCACGAAGAGACTTTAACGGGACGGTGGCCCTTGTCAAGGAGCCCCGTTATTTTCCCAAAGGGAATTCCTATTTACTCTCCGTCGTGTGTTTTAAATAATTTTAGTTTCGTCTTTACCCCCCCCCCCCCATTGTAGTTGCATTGTGTTAGTTAATAAAGATGGATTCTGAGTTGAGTTGTTCCTGATCAGCATCAAAAAATGTTGCCGCGCTATCATTTAATTCATTTAAATAGTTATTTTTCTTTATGGTCCAATACAGGAACAGGTATTCTATAGACAAGTTATCAACCAGATTTTACTCTCAGGGAGAAATGAGGAGCATAAATGTCCTACTTGGGGCAAAAGGACGACTCTTTTTTTTTTTAAACGTATTTCTTTAAAAAGACCTACAGCCTTTATATTTTGTATAATAAAAGCTAAGTATGGGTATGTCTTTCAGATGGTTAATTTAAAAAGATTATTGTTTTTAAAAATTAAGCAAATCAAATTAGGCATACTTTTAAAATAATGTTAAAATAATAAAAGAATAAATTATTAATTTATAATTTATGTTATGACAAATAATAAAAATATAGTGTGTGTGTCTGTCTGTCTGTCTGTCTGCCTGCCTGTCTGCCTGCCTGCATGCATGTATGTATGTATGTATGTATGTATGTATGTATGTATGTATGTATTCGTATAAATAAAATACATCTTTTGGGGAATGTACTTAAAAAACCTGCTTGAGTGGCAGGTGGTAGCATTGGGCAACAAGAGCCTTATGCTCAATACCAGTTGCTCCCCTTCCTGGATGGAGAGTTTCTGCTTGCTGTCACTCATTAGTAATCCATCATTTGGATAACTGCATTGTGGTCTGCATTAAGCTGCCCTTGAAAAGCATCTGGAAGCTTCAGTTGATACAGAATGCAGCAGGGGATGCATCTTTGTCCATCTGTGTAGGACCAGTGATCTTAGTAAGCTTCTGGGTACAATTCCAAGTGCTGGTTGTCACATATAAAACCCTACATGGAGTAAAGACTTACGTTTGTGGGACCACCACTCTTCAGTGGCATCTGCCTGCCCCGCATGGATGGGCAAGTTTGGGGTCACTTCCTTGGAGCAAGGTCATCTGGCAGGACCCAGTAGCTCAGCCTTTTCCTTTATCCAACCTAGTTTCTGAAATGATCTCCCCTCACTTCCCTAATCCCATTGGCTTTTAGAAAGGGGCAAAATTATGATTCTCTCCCAGTCATTGGGGCAGATGTAACAGAAATTTGATATCTGGTTGCTTATTATTATTAATTTCTGTTTTCTTTTGTTTTCTTACCCAGAGTCATTGGGTAGCCACATAAATTTCAGAGATATATAAGTTGGGAGGCAAATGTAAAATGGGGAACAATTAGTCATGTAGATCCTTTGATGTTTAAACTACATCATAAAATACCGCATATTACTAATTTGTTTGGATTTAATACTCTTTTTTCCCCCTCTCCTATTTTTCTCCTTGAGCTGAATTGTGAGCTAGTACTGATGCTAGTACACTTTGCACGTTGCTGATGTCATTGACACAAACAAATATTTATGAATATTCATGAATAAAATCTATTTTGATAAGACTTGTTATTGTGATTGTAGAAACTCCCAACTTGTGTGATGAGAAATACAGTTCAAATATCATTACTCCCACATTCTTTTCCCTCTGTGTAGTGCCATATTTTCCAATATAGTTGCAACTTAAAGCTGTTTATATGCTTTTTGCTTTTTGCACAATTGTAATGAATATTGTGCATTTTTGATTAATTAACCATCAAATACATATAATATTAACTGTCATGTGTAAATATTATTAAAACATAGCTGACAGTGGATTGAGTGTTTTTGGCTATGTGTATTGTGATTTATGAAGTAGTTAATGAAACTAAGCTACGTCTTCTTATGTTGATCAGTCAACACTGACTCCTGCGGATTACAGAGATTAGTTCATGCAATTTTTTTGACATTTTCAGAAGCAATTCTTGCACGTGCTTCCTAGGGCTGAGAGAGTGACTGACCTAGATGAAGGATTAGAACTCACAGTTTTCCAGCTTTGTAAAACTGCAATTTAACACTCCTTTTCTTTTTAGAGCAGTTTTTTCTTAAATGCTTTGTTCTCAGGACCCTTTCCCATTTTTAACAATTACGGAGGACTCCAAAAGAGCTTTTATTTGTCTAAGTTATGTTTATTGATATTTACTGTATTAAAATTAAAAGTGGTGCTTTCTTAGAAATTTACTCATGAAAAATTACAATATTTTTCATGAAAAAATATATTGTTAATAAATAAAAAAATAATGTGGAGTTACATTGTTTTAAATTTTTGCCAATATCTTCAATATCTGGCAAATACTTTTGACTTCATGGACCCCTCAGAGGGTCTTGGAAGATTGGATGGAAACTGACCAAGGAGAGATTCAACCTGGAAATAAGGAGAAATTTTCTGACAGTGAGAACAATCAACCAATGGAACAGAAGTTGCCCTCGGAAGTTGTGGGAGCATCATCACTTGAGACTTTCAAGAAGAGATTGGACTGCCATTTGTCAGAAATGGTGTAGGGTCTCCTGCTTGGGTGGGGGGTTGGACTAGATGACCTATAAGGTCCCTTCCAATGCTGATTATCTGTTATTCCTAGGTCTCCTCTGACAATTGTTTAAGAAACACTGCCTTAGAGTAAGAACCTAAAGCTTGTTTGTAAAAAGTAAACATATTAATTTTTTTAAAAGGAGGTTATGTCCATCTTCTGTTTAGTAAACTCATGTTAAACTAGTTAAACTTTCAGATGAATAAATTTTCATCTTTGTGTAGTCAATCAAGTTTGTGGTGGGAAAAATATATGTTTATGAATATGACCCTCATTTCAAAATTTAAATATCAGAATGATAAAGCTGGGACTATTGTATATGAACTCATTTCATATTCACAACAATATAGGATTTTAAAAGGCGCTTTAATTGAAAGAAAAACTCATCATATGAAACATAACATGTTTTAAATATATTTTTAAGAAATACACTTCACTATATATTTTTCAAATATTCTTGATACTTGTGAAGATATATTAATTAGAAAGGAAGTGCCTTGAAGGGCTGTAAATAGAATATTATACTCAAAAATGTTTAGTTGCTTTATTCCCTTTCACAAAATCATAATAGGTATTTATGAACTTTTTTAAAATAATAATGTTCATTTGCAGAGAGATTACTTATTTTTATACCTAAACAACCATAATAATTTATTAAGCTTGTAGGCTGCCCAATTCTTAACGACAACCAAGTAGAATACAATAAGCATACAAGAAATACATTACTTTTGTTCTTCAAAAAAATAATAAGTAGAATAGCTGAAGTAGTTTCAAAATGGCATGTTGGTAGTGGAAATCCTGGAATTCTAGAATAAATTATTTAGAAAACAACATTTCAATACCATTGGGAATTGTCATTCATGGTTTACCTAGTGCAAATACATCCACTGTTCTGTATTCAACGGAGAACTATATGAGCAGCATGAAAAATTAATTGAAGTTCATACTGTATATGACTGCACTTTCCTCTCCAAATAAGGAAGTTAAAAGCTTTTCATCTCTTCCCATTGGAATAACAGTTTGAATCAGATCCTTTTCAGTATTGAAAACGAAACAAAATTTGTAGCAAGTCCTGAAAGCAGCATATGTGACTCTAACTCTGAATTAATGTGGAAACATGCTTGATAACACCTGTTGTTATTTCTTGATATCTTGAATTGTTCTAGAGTCTTTTAATATATTTGAAAGTGAGACATGGACATAGATTCTTCCATATTTCTTTTCTTGAAATATTTTCCTTTAAGATTTGTTTTCTGTACTATTAAAGGAAATTTCTTTACTCTGCATAGGTTTCATTTTTATTTATTTAACTTCACAACTTTTATAATCCACCCAGCTTAGAAGAATCTACACAGCAAGCTAAAATGATAAATGCAGCAATACAATAAATGAACATGATAAAAACCACAAGAACAACACATCAGTAGTAAATCAGCTGTATTATGCATTCTGCTTCCCAAAATGAAGCTCTCTTTAAACATATTGTAAATATTTTATGTTTTCCGTTCCATGCAGTCTACTTGTTCATTGAGCATTTATAGAAACCTGCCTTTTTATGATTCTATGATTCTCAGTTCCAATTAAGGAGAATATTTGTAGCTCAGAGTTGAAATGAGGGGTTCTAGGTGGTCTCTTGGTTGTTTTCTTGCAGATGTTTCATTACCCAAACTAGGTAATATCATCAGTGCTAGTAAGGAGTGGGGTTTGCTCCCAATTTACATTTCAGTGGCTTGGCCTGTCAGTGTTTGATGGGTATAGTAGTTCTTTGGTTGGGCTGTTTACTGTTAGGTTCTTTGGCAGGTCTGTGATTGGGGTATTTTTTATTTCTTTTTTGTTGGTCTGATGATAATCTTCATAATCAGATAGAAAAATGTGG